CCGAAAGGGGTGTCTCATCGTCAAGCTGAGGGCTTCCCCTGCTCAAACCGCCAGGCGACAGCACCTGCTCGTCCCTCTGGTTTCCCTTCTCCTTGGGGTTTACAGGAAGTACAGGTACACTGTGGCCACTCCTCAGTGTCAGACGCTGTAAGTGTCTCGCCCTTCACCTGCCCGTCACCTTCATCTCTCATGCGGCAGCAACAGAGGGCTCGCCATGGGTTTGCCGTGCGAGCCACAGGAGACAAGATAGCCCCGGCTGGTGAGGCTCGGTGGATTGAGTGCCGGCCTGCGGGCCAAGGGGTTGCCGGTTCGATTCCCAGTCAGGGCACATGCCTGGGCTGTGGGCCGGGTCCCTGGTGGTGGGCACATGCAGGAAACCCGTCAATGCTTTTCTCCTGGTTTGTCACCCTCTCTTCCCCTCTCTCTAAAAACAAAGAAGGAAAAGTCGAAGGATAAACTGCTGGGTGAGATTTAAAGGACGTGAGTGAGAGGACACACATGAAGCACCTGGAGCCACACGGGGCGCAGACTCGGCCTCCCAGGTGCCACCTATCGGGTCCCGTGGATACGGGGACCCGGGTGCCCCAGGAGCAGGTGGAACCCGGACCCAGAAAGGGGGGGAAAACACCCGTGACAATGTGGGCTGGGCTGGGGGAGGATGGCAGGAGCGGAGACATTGTTCAGGTGACACGTGGCCTAGGCTCTCGGGCTCCGCCCCCAATCTCCGAATGGAAGCTGCTAGTTGGGGGGCCGATGGGCAAGTCAGAGCCCCCTTCGCAGGCCACGCTTAAGACAGAAACACACTGGCTGGACCCCTGGCCTGCAGCGCTGTCCCTTCCCTACACGTCCTGCCTAAGGCGTCTTCTCTGCCCGGCTCTGTGGCCACATCGTGAACCTCCCCAAAGCCCCGTAGCGGCCGCTCATTATTATCTCACCTGGTGACAGCTCCTCAGACCCCCTCTGGGTTGGAAGCCCCGTTCTCTGGGCCCCCCACCCCCACAGCCGCTTCTGCCTCAGCCCCCTCCGCCTTTCTCGGGGACGCGTGGCCGGCACCCTGGCCGCTGGGTCGTCTGCCTCTGCTGGACGCCTTGGTGCCACGCTAGGCTCCCGGGTGCTCAGACCCCCAGTTCCCCCCGACCCTGCCTCCTGCACAGACCTCGAGACAGTGCAGCTCCTGCGGGTCTCGCCTTCTCCTTGGTAACCGGCCCTGACTCCCTCAACTGGGAACGGGCTGGTTCGGACCAGTTCCATCGGGAGCTGCTTTTCGGTTTGGCACGAGTCAAGGGTCTGAGGGGAGTCTTTCCGTAAGGCTGGCCGATTGTTCTAGCCCATTCACTGAAAAGCGTGTCCCTTCCCCGCCGCTCGGCAGGGCCAGCGCTGTCCGCAGTCCAGCTCCCGCATCTTGTCTCGGTCACCGCCGCCCGGGCGGACACGGCCCTTCGCTCCCCTCCGCGCCGCCTCCTTCCCCTGCAGCCTCCTACTACTCGGCCGCCTTCTTTCCTATTCCTTTTAGGGTCCGTTCGTTGAATTTCTTTTTAAAAAAACAACAACACCCTTTGGCATTTTAACGGGAATTGCTGTTTTGTAGGACCACCGGGTGGCAGGGGGAGAGCTGGCCGGTTTCGGGTGGGTCTGTGGCTTCCCGTCTGCGAGTGTGGCGCCCAGGCCTTCTCGCCTCTCGACGTTTTCGGCCCTTCCTTAACCCTTTGGCTCACTTTTTCGCAAGTTTTATTTGTGCCCCTTCTATCCTTTTGTTGCTATTTTTGTGGAGATCTGGGAAATTGAGAACATAGCCTGACCACAGCAAAACAGGCTGATTGTAATCTGCTTAGCTTTGAATTTTGAACCCCCACCCTGTTCCCGCGTGCGGTCTCTGTCAGCAAACAGCCAACTGCCACGTCTGCTTCTGTTCAACGCTTGCTTGCTCGCCCCTATATAAGGACTTAGCTGTAAGTGTTCGGCGTGTCTCTCATCTGCAGCCCTTTTGGGCACCGTGTCTCCGGACACCCCGAGAGTTCGCCCCTGCGCAGGTTAAGCTTGGCCAATAAAATAAGATCAAAACCCTGAGAGGTCTTCGAAAATTATTCTCGCGTCTGGTGTATATAACATTTTCAATGGGATTTTACAGAACCGTGTCCTCTGGTTATTGCTGATGTTTGGGTGCTCGGGGAGGACAATGTCCTCCCGCCCTCCCTGCTCCACCCCTCACCTTCCCCTGGCCCCGGGGAGCTGCCATCACCTGGCTGGGCGGAGGGAGACCTGGTGGAGGTCAGTGCTGGGGCCCTCCGCGCAGGCCTGTGCTGGGCAGCGGCCAGTCGCCCCTCTGCAGGGGCCCTGGCTACTATTCTTCGTCCTTTCGAGGGGAGGGAGAAGCTTCCTGGACCTGAAATTCCTCCCTCACTGTGCCTTGCTGGTTCCTTAACTCTGCCCTTCCTTGGTAAATGGTCACTTCCGAAAATCCCTCCAATTACCTTTCTAAGCATGCCATCTGTTTCTTGCTGGGACCCTGACGGATACAGTGATTGCCACCAGAAGAGTCCCCAGAGCACAGCCCCCCCACCCCCCATCCAAATGGGATTCTAGGCTTGGGCTGCTCGTGTATTTGATAAGCACGTGAACAAACTCCTTGCCGGGGGGAATCGGGCCCTGGGATCTGCGTCACACAGCGTCATCGAGGTTCTGGGGTGCGCTGCACGTGGAGGGTGGGGAGACAGGAGGCCGAGGGGCTGAGGCACTTGGCCGCTTTGACGGTGACACGGAGAGTTTGCTGTGGGCCGCCTACTGTGGAAGGCTCTGGAAAGTGCACGCAGAGGAAAAGGATGATTCAAGCCTTGGGTGTGTCAGTGCCCCCCATCAGCCCACCAGGAACACACCCGCAGCTCAGCAGGGCAGGGCTGTTACCGGTGGAGCTCACGAGAGGGCACCGCGGGGACACACAGGGCGACTCAGCTGGAGGGTTTTAGAAAAGACCTGTGACAGGGCCTGGGATTCTGTCGGGGGTGGCGGGGTTGACACAGAGGGGTTCTCCTCTGGAGCGGATGCTGTCGGAAGCTGGGGTCATTCTATAATTAGGCTTCTTAACAATTCTAATCTAGAAAGAAGGAGGGGAGACCAGGGGCAAGCAGCGGCAGTCACACCAGCCAGGAAGCGAGGTGCTGGCCACTCGGCTCTGCCTGTGCTCACACGCGCTGGCCGGGCAGTCCTGGTGTTCTGGATGCCTTGTGGGCGGGGTGGCCTTGTCTCATCTCGATGGTCTGTGTACCTGCCCGTGCCCCGCAGGGGGCGGCAGGCCCAGCTGAAGGCAGGCCTCTTCCCCTTCCTTCTCCGTCAGGGACTCCGAAAGAACCCCTTGTCCCCAGCAGTTCTAAGGCTGACATGGCTGCAATGCTTGGCAGAGAAGGAGGGGAGCGTGAGACCAGAGGTGGGGAGAGGAAGCTCTGATGTGACCACCTCAGGCCCAATCACAGACTCAGGAGTGGGGAAGCCACAACCCCATTTCCTGGTTATATTGGTGATTTCCCCTGACCAGACGCTGCTGGCAGCTTCAATTCCTGCTGTGGGTGGTGGGAGGCTTAGGCGCCATCTCCCACGGAGACCAGGTAATGGATGGCGCTGTTCCTCCTACACAGGGACCCCCATCTTTCTGTGGCCTGCTGAAGCACTCCAGCCCACACTCACCTCTCCCTTCCCTTGACTCCTAGTTTTAAAATTTTACATGTAAGTGCTCTGCCTCTCAGATGATTTGGGGGGGTAAATCAAGTGCCTAATGCTGTCTGTGTGTTGTTCTCCTGGCCCTCGACCCCCCTGCCCCCCACCAGGAGGTTCGCACAGCTGCAGGAGGCTGTCCACAGATGTCTGGGATCAGGACCCTCCACTCTGCCCATGCAGGACGGGACTCCGAGGCGGAGACTTTCCTCCCTGAGACACTGGGGACTGCTGTCACCTAACAGGGTTGGCTATCCGAAGTACACAGGTCCCAATCCAGGGTTCAGGGCAGGCTTACAGGGTTGGGGGAGGGGTGCAGAGGTGTGGCAGGTCGTTTCAAGTGGAGGACCTTGGCCCTTGGCCGTATATGGTAAGGGCCTTCAGTACAGGATATCCTTCAGGACAATGGACCCCGAGTGTTTGGAGTTCAAGTTTCCCTCCAGCTGGCCTGTTTGCTCCATGGGAGGGATGGTCCTGGGTGCAGGTAGAGGTCAAAGCTCTCCTGAGTGCTGCTTCTGGCACATGACTTGGGGTTTTGGTTCTTGTCTCTGAAAAGTGACTCAGTATTTTCTTACAAACAGCATGGGGCCATTGGGAGCAGGTTCCGAAACCGGGAAGGGCGGCATTGGTACTAACCGTGGCTACTAGAACCAGTAAGTAGAGACAAGAATAGAATCTTGATCAGTGCTTTATTCAGATGCCTGGGATCTGCGAAGACGACGGGTAATGTACCCTAAAAACTGTCTTAACATCTCATTTGAAGCCGACCTTAGGAAAAAAAAAGGGTAGGTAAGAGGGTTGGAAGAAAGGTTAATCAGGTTGGAGCTGCAGTCCGAGATTTTCCTAGTATTTCTTTATGTGCCCCACTGTGCCGCTCCCTGGGACACAGTGGCTCTGGCACCATCTCGGGGCCTGCAAGACCCACCTGGGGCGCGAAGGTTTCACCGGCTTGTCCACCTGCCGGAGTCACATGTTCATGGGTCCCGGCTCCGGGAACAACAATTTTCCACGGGCATTAGTCATTTGCGACAATTGACCATAGCTACAGCTAAAATCTTTGACTCTCGAGTTCCCTATGAGCCTTGCGGAGGCCCCGAGCGGGAAGGGCACCGCGGGTCCCCACCTCCACGGGGCAGCTCCGGGCTCCACCAGCCAAGCGACCTACTCAGGGGAAACCCAGGAGCCAGCAGCCACCAGTAGCGGGCCGGGCGGGGCCGCCCGGCGACCGCGCAGGCGCCGGCCAGGAGCACGCGTGTGTGCGTGCGCAGCGCCGGAAGGGGCAGGGCCGCGCGCACTTACGCTGCCAGGGCGGAGCGGCCGTCAGCTGACTGTGGTGGCCGCAGCCTCGCTGGGACAGCCGTTGACAGTGTCGCAGGCTCCGTAGGGAGGGTCGCAGGCTCGTCAGTTCTCAGTGGGCGAGGCCGGCCGGCGGAGCACCATGGCGACCACCGTCAGCACACAGCGCGGGCCGGTGAGACTCCGGGCCGGGCGCGGCGGGGCGCAGCGGGCTGGCTCCCCGCTCAGGCGCGTCTGGCTCCTGGGCTCCCGGCGAGCTAGTGGGCCGCCGGCGGGGTTGGCGGGGCAGTCCCCTGATGCCGAGGGCCCCGTATCTTGAGGGTCCGGGAATGGAGGAAGCGCTCCTGCGGGTCCCCTGGCCAACGAGTATCTAGACTCCTCGCCTGTCCCGGAGATGGGCGAGGCCCCGAGCCCCGCACGGGCCGTCGCCCTCCCTCTCCGGGCAAAGGGAAGCTCCCGGGCGCGGCCCTGTCTCTAACTGGCGTGAGTGAGGGCGAGCCGGCCGGGCAGCTCACCCTCGGACTACGCGGGGGCCATCTCGCCGGCCCCCTGCCTGGAGAGAGGAAGCCTTTCCACGTCATCTGCTCTCAGAGCCCGAGGGAGCCCCCTTGGGACGTAGGCCTGCTGAGGCTGCGCGGGCTGCGCCGGCGTCCGGGCGGGAACAGCCCGAGGCAAACAGGTGTCGGGACCCCCACCTCTTCGCAGCGAGTGGTGGCCCCAGTCTCCCCTATACGCGCCTAGGCCGCGGGGAAAGCCAGGCTGCTGGCAGCACTCTCGGGGCCCTGCCTAGAGCAGAGGCCCCCGAGGTCAGGCGGCCCGCCCCTGGGCCATTGGCGTCCTCAGTTCCCGGTCCCCGGCCTCCTCTGTGCACTTCCCCAAGGGGCGTTCAGCTAGGCAACGTCGAGCAGCTGAAGCAGCTGACACTTGGGCGCGGAAGTGGGGGGTGGGGAAACGGGCGTCAGTGTTCAGACCGGCCGTGCTGAGAAGGCGCCCGCATGCTGTCTGACTCCACGGTTCTCCAGATGGTGGTGGAGCGGCCCTGTGTTCGTGTCCCCGTAGACCAGACTCTGGGACCCGTGGGCGGGCAGGGCTGCTGGGCTGCAGGAGGCGACCTCGCGGCCGGGGTCCCGCATGGCCGTGCACCCCACTCTGCCAGTTTGGCTGGTCGCTGCCTTGTGGCAGCTCTGTGAGGCGAATGAGCAGGTGCAGCTCTTGCAGCGGAGCTGACCACATGTCCTGTGAACCACACAGAGGAGCCCTTGGGGTGGCCGAGGTGGTTCTGTGGGTCTGAACTCGGAGATGGGTGTCTGTGGTGGCCAGCCAGGGCAGGGGTTGGGGTGAGTCAGGTGCTGGAGGAGCCTGACACTGGGTGGCTGAGTGGGGGGTTTGACAGGTGCAAGTGGCTGCCTGCTGAGGGGCGCTGCTGGAGGCAGGGCTGCCGGGGGCCCACGGATTTGGCCCTTGAGTTTTGTCTGGTGACTGCATTGCCAGTTGTTCCTGGCACATGCCCTCTGTAGCTTCTGCCCCCCCCTCCTGATGCCCGCTCCTCCGGCAGACCGGGGCTTGCCAGGACCTTTGGCCAGCGAGCAGAGCCTGGTGGATGGGCTCTCCCTCAGCAGTGGGCGCCGAGCGACGCTCTGGGTGCCGGGGAGGTGCTGGGAGTCCAGGGGCTCGGCCCGTCCACAGAGAAAAGCCATGGGCCCGTGTGTGCTTGTGAAGGCAGCTTTGGGCCAGTGCTCGCCATGCCGCATCGCCTGGGCAGCGGGCTCTTCCCAGGCCCCATCTCTGCCCACCCGGGAATGGGTTCTGTTCGCGACGGACTCCGAAGTCTGACTGTTGCCCACTGCCTCCATAATCAGGAGTGACAGGCAGGGTCCCCAAGAGTGTGCAGGAGGTGGGGGGCAGGTCTAGGAGGTCTTCTCCAAGGGTCTCTGGGTCCGTGGCGCCAAGGAGCTGGGTGAGGGGCCATGTGTAGCGTGCGTGAGACCAGGAGCCCTGGTCCCTCGCCTTCAGTCGAGTGTTGTGTCCCCCTGCAGCAGCACCCCTGCGGCTCTCTGCCGGGGCTCAGGGGACATGCTGTTTGTGTTTCCAGGACTGCGGGTTCCGTGCGCAGCCGCAGAGGCTGCCCCACCCTGTGCCATGCACCCCGATTTCAGCAGCACCCTTGGTGTATTTGTATTGGCAGCCCTTCCTTTGCCCTGTGTTCCTGTCTAGTTCACAAACTCTCAGAAAGCACCCGGCAGGCGCCTGCAAGGACCGAGACTCTGGGGGCCCCTGCCGTGCACACCGGCACCTGGGAGCTGTGTGGGGCCCGTCTGCCTGGGGGGCAGCTGTCAGGCCCAGTCAGAGGCAGCTCTGACTCAGCAGGTCTCCCTGGGGTCTGGCCGGTGGGGCCCAGGGTCAAGTGCGTTGTTAAACATACACATTTCTTTTCTTCTTTTCTTTTATAAATTATTTTATCGTTCAATCACAGTTGTCTGCATCCCCCCCCACCCGGCTCCCCCATCCCAGCCCAGCCCACCTCCCTCCCTTGCTTCTACCCTCCCCCTGGGTTCTGTTCGTGTGTCCTTGATAAACATACACATTTCTTTTAAAAAGAAGGTTTTGTGGGGTTTTGTTTTAAGGTTTTATTTGTTTACTTTTAGGGCAAGGAGAAGGGAGAGGGGAAGACAGGGCGAGAAACATCCACATTTGGCAGATATGTTCATGCACTGCCTCTCACGCTCCCGACACGGGACCTGGCCCTCGACCCAGGTGTGTGCCCTGACCGGGAGTCAAACCGGCGACCTTTCCATTCATAGTCTGGCACGCAGTCCAGTGAGCCACGCCAGCCCTGGCATTTCATACTTTTATTTGTCTTATTTTTTGTTTTTCTTTTTCTCCCCTTGCCTTGTTTTGAATTGAGTAAATAGTTTTTTAAAAATTCAAGCTTTTGTTTTTTGCTGGTTTGGAAAATGTATGCAGGGTTGCGTCCCTGTTCTCTTCACCGTCACCCTCCAGGTTTTGATGTGTGGACAGGTCAGGATCCATGCCTGACCTCTGCTTCCTACCGGACCGGCCGCTGCTCAGGCGGCCGTGCCCCATGGCGGGGCCAGCCCTCGAGTGTCGCTCTCTCTCCTGCCGTGTGGGGTGCGCCGCCCCCGCTCTGTCCGGAATCCCCAGCCTCACAGGCCCTCAGTGGCCCGGCCCTGCTCCCAGCTGGTCCTTCAGGGCGTCCCCCAGGGCAGCTGCCATCAGAGCTCCGGAGGGAGCGTGCCAGGGTGGCGGTCACTTCTTGCATTGAGTGAGGGTCTCACTCGGCCCCTCTTCTGGACCTCCCGTCCACGCTGCACGTGACACCCTCTTCTGTTTGCCACTGCTCTGCAGGTGGCTCCGTGAAGCCGGGCCAGGACTTTGGTGTGGACTGTCCGAGCGAGTTTCGGCTCTACCCTGGGGCAGGCGCTTGGCGCCTCTGAGTCTTGTGCCCTTGGGTGTGACCCTTTCTCGCCATGCGGGCCGCCGGCCCTCGGACTTGTTTCCTGTCTCAGAGCTGGCTGGGCTGCTCCTCACGGCCACCGGCCCCCTCTCCAGTTCCCACTCGCCGCTCTTTGTCCTCCGTTCCTGCGCCACCACCTGTGCTTTCGGGGACCGAGGGAGGTGACCGCAGATGGCGGGCCAGGGCTCTAGGCCAGGGACGGAGCAGCGGCCTGCCTTCTGTGTTCGGAAGACGTCTCGTGTGGGTTCTAGGACTCTGGGAGACGGGCTGCCGCCGGTGGGCACGGGCACAGCAGGGACAGCGGGGTCCCTGCTCTGAGTCACCGTCGCCCCTCGGGCTCCCTTCCTTGGCCCCTGCTGCTCCTCGGCTCAGTCTGTCCTCGCTTGTCCAGAGGTCTCGGGGCTTCAGCACCCCGCCCCCGCCTTTGTCCCCGACTCCACGTCCGCGTGTCCTGCCACTGCTGCCATCGCCTAGAACGTTCTGGCTGTGCCAGGGCAGCCTCTCCTCCCCTCGGACGCCCCCACTGCCTGTGCGTGTGGGCCCGGTGGGTCTGCCCTCCGTTTGGAGCCGGCTCTACCCTTCACGTTGTTCAGGCCAGAACCTCGGGGTGGCCCTGCCCCTCTGGACCCCTCGGACGTCCTGCGGCGCTGCCCACAGAGCCGCTCTCAGCTCAGGTTCTTCCCACCTCTGCCCCGCCCCACACCCTGCCCCACCGGCCTGCCTGGTCCGTCTGGTCGGCCCCAGGCACGCTGGGCGCCTCGCCTATGTCAAGGTTCCTGCTGCCCGTCCTCCACCTCTGACCTGCTGTCCCTCCGCTGTCTCAGGCACCGCCCTCCCCCCCTCCACCTGCCAGAGGGGCCCCTGGGTGGCCTGGAGTCTCAGCACAGGGGTCTCCTCCGCCCGCCTTGGCCTCCCCTCAGCTTCCGCAGCTGATACCCTCGTGTCTCTTGGACTTTGATGGCCCCTCCTGCTCGGCCAGCCCCAGCCCCACCCAGTGCGGGCTCTGCCCACGGCGCCTGCAACCCTCCTCGTCCTCCACTGACACGCAGGCGCCAGGAGAGCAGCGATGGCGCCCGCACACCCGCTGCAAGGCCTCACCACCTGCCGGGTGCCCACCACCTGCCACCAGCACCGTGCCCCCCACCTCATCCAGGCCCTGGGCACCCCCTCAGCCCTCTGGTTGGCTGGTTGTTTGTTGTGGCTTTTTAAGATAATTTTCACCCAGGAATATGTTTTTATCGATTCTAGAGAGTGATAGAGACATCAATCAGCCATCTCCCATATGCGCCCTGACCAGGAATCAAACCCGCATCGTTCTGGCACGTGGGACGATGCTCCAACCAGCTGAGCCACCCGGCCAGGGCTTGCTCCATTGGAGTGAGGAGAGGGAGTGCCACCCCAGGCTGCAGGCTGGCTCGCCGTCCCAGCACCTGGACGAGAGGCCATGCGCCGTGGGGCCCCCCGGTCTGGGGAGCCCGGCACCGGCCACGGCCGCATGTGCCTCCTCTCTTCCGCTCTGAGCCCCTGCGGGCACGAGGCCGTCTCTCTGTTCCCTCGACAGCCCGGGTTCTGGCGTCTGCTGTGGACTCCAGCAGGGTTAGGACAGCCGGGCGTTGTGGCCTGGAAGTGCCTGGCCTGTCTGGAGTAACTAAAAAAGTTGGGGACGGCATGGGTGCTAGGAAGGGGACAAGAGCCGGTCTTTGCCAGGAGACTAGAGAGGGTGGGACAGGGAGAGCCCTCCGTGGCCTGGAGGGAAGCGGGCAGTGAGCGCCCACACGGTGGGAGGGTGGGCGGAGGGGCACGCAGACCTCTGCCCCCATTGCTTTTGGGCCTGTCCCCTCTTCTTCCTGTTTCAAGGAACAAGGATGCCAGCAGAGGCGAGCAGGCCCTGGAGACCGGGGACTGCTGGTGCCACGCAGGCCCCCGTGGAGTTGTGGCGTTGAGTGTTGGTGGGGAGTTAGGTTTTCTCCCGACCTGATTTGGGAAGGTGCTGGACGTCCAGCAAAGCCTTGGTGACCCCCGCAGCGACCACGGTGCAGCTCTCACCTCGCCTGGGCTGCTGCCGGGTGTCTCCTGGGGCTGCACAGGCCTGTCTTCCGTCTGGGCTGCACGCCTGGGGCGTGTAGGGCTGAGCGAGCAGAGCTGCGGGAGACCTTCCGGCCCTCACCAGCCCCGGGGTGGGCGCCCGCACCTGCTCACCACGGGCCGCCACACAGTGAGCCAGCCGGCCTCACCTGCTCTGTCCTGGTCCCCGCGGTCTTCCGCCTCAGCCTGCACGTCCGTCCCCAGCCCCTCAGCACCGTGGGGGACAGATTCTGGGTCACACTGATCTCTGGCCCGGATGACTAGCAGCCAGCATCCTCTCACAGGCCTTCCGGTGTGGTGGGTTCCTGGGTGCACCCGAGGCCCCAGGGGCCGCTCTCCTCCAGGCGCAGCAGGCGTGGTCCCCAGGGTGGGGCGTCGCCTCCCCGGGCAGCCCCTGACCTGCCCGCGAGGGAGCTTCTGCTTTGTGTTTCCCTGTCCCTCTGGGCCTCAGCCTGACCCCGCTGTCCTCACCACTGCACCGGCTGTGAAGGGCAGATTGACCCAGAGCCAGGTGACCAGCTTTGGGGGTGTGGTGAGGGTGTGGGGGGCCTCCTGGGGCCAGGTGTGGGGGCTCCAGGGCCCTTAGCGCGCCCGCTCTCAGCCCAGGCTGACGTTGTGTGAGGGCTGGCTCTCGGAGGAGGCAGCACAGACGTCACTTCTGCAGGGCATCGTGGCACCGTGGGCGTCGTGTTGCCGTCGAGTTCACGGACGGCAGGGACTCGGAGCTTGGGGGTGGAACGGCAGGTCGGCCACCTCCCGGTGCCCGTGTGTGCGGGGGTGCTCGGAAAGTGGAGTGGAAACGTTTGCTGTTCATTTCAAGTGCTGGAAAGAGCGTCAGAGCTAGTTTTTTAAAAAGTGTTTTCTGATAGCAAACAAAAATGAAGTTAAAGTTAAGTTCGCTGAAAGTGTTGAAGAAATTTTACAAGTGTTTTACTTTTCTTGGAAACTGAAGAGTTCCCTAGTTTTGTCTCACTGCTGCTGAGTCCCATGTAACCTGCCGTACGACGGTTTACGCGTAGCCCCGCGCTGGGCGATTTTCGGTTTCCAGTCTAACTTGTGCCGCGGACATTTGCTCGGCTGCCACCCCCAAGGCCGAGCTGCGCCACGTGGAGACTGTTCTCCTTGCCCCTCCCCGGAGAAAGTGCGGGCGGACGCGGGGACGCGACAGACCCGGTGTAGCTGCGGCGTTAGCACACCGAGGTGGGCAGGCGTGTGGGCAGCGGGGAGGAGGACAGCTGACCAAGGCTCCTTGGAGGGGTGACCCATGCAGGGCCCAGGTGGCCCAGGGGCTGGGCCGGCGCGGGGCTTCGCTCGGGGAGGGAGAGGCTGTTGCAGGCCAAGCCTCGCCCCGGCCGGGGTCCCTGTGGGCAGCCGTGGCGGCGGGAGGAGTGGCCTTGGTGGCCTTGGTCCTTCCTGTCAGACTGGTGACCAGCTCCCAGTGCTGCTGTCCTCACCAGTGTGGGGCAAGCACCTGCACTGCACAGCAAGAACAGGCACACCATTCGGACTTGGGAAGAGTGTTTATTTTAAACAGACAGATTCTCAAGTCCTTTTATCTCTCTAGGAAACGTACGCCTGGGGGGAGGGGAGCTCTGGCCTTGCTCAGGCGGGGGCGGTTATCAGGAGTAAGCCTGCTGCCTGTGCTTCTCTCCCGGGCGAGGGCGGGTGGGAGAGGACCAGTGGCTTTAGGGAGCACAAAGTTACTGTCTTGAAACAGACTGGCGTTTATAAAAGTAGCCTTTGGTCTCCAGAGTCCAGAGACTGAGGGCTCTGTGCTGCTCCGGTGTGGAACCAACCCGTGGCTGTGTATCTGTGGGGTGCGGTGGGGTGGGTGGGCCCGTGCGTATGTCGAAAGTGGCCAGTGGCCGGCCGGGTGGCTGGCTTGTTTGGAGCATGGAGCTCTGCACCAGGGTTGCAGGATCGGTCCTCGGGTGGGCGGGGCTGGCAGACAGGCAGTGGCGGTTCTCTCTCTCGCTCCCTCTCCAGCACTCTCTCTCTAACATCTTTGAGCGTATCTTCTTGGTTTAAAAAAAAAACATCAGGGGAGAAAAGTAAAGAAATTAAAATGAATACCCCCAAAACCAAATCCCAAACTGGAACATTAATTTCTTAATGTTTTTAGGCATCAAACGTCCTTCGTGTTTTTGGCTCAGGGGGCAATGCTACCCCTCCTCCAGGCGCCACAAGGTGGGAGGCGCAGGGACAGCTTCTGCCTTTTGGAGGCTGCTTGGGTCCCTGTCCTGTGGCGCTGCCTGGTCCGAGGGGACTGGGCGTCAGCACAGCACCGAGGCAGCAATGTCCTGCCTGAGTGGCCGGTGCCGTGGCAGGGAGTTCCCAAGGTGGGAGACCGGGTCTTGGTGCGGGGTGGGGGTCGTTGGTGCTGGAGTGGGTGCCCCCCCGTGAGCACCAGCCGAGCCTCTGCTCGCGGCTCGTTGGGGCTGGGAGCCCTGTGCTCCCGAGTCTGAGCCAGCAGCGCCCGTGCTTTGGCCGCCTGTTGGAGCATTTCTGTCACCGTGACGTGGCAAAGGCGCGCCTGTCGGCGCACATTAGGAACGCATGCCCCCTCAGCTGGTGTGCCCTGCCGCGCAGCCCTTGGCTTGGGCTCAGGGACACAGGCGTCCGCGTCTCGCTCCACTCCGTCCGGGGGCCTTGACGAGGGTGCTGCCGCGGGTCCCCACCAATTCTGGCTTTTGTCTCCCCTGCTGTTTCTGGGCGCACTGCTCTCCGGGAGCCCTTTGGGTTCACCCCCCAGCGTGTCCCTGGAATGTGTCGTCCGGCCAGGAGCCACTCCCCCCTGGGCTCCTTCTCCCCGGTTGGGAGTGGGCGGCCTGGGCGCCGTGAGGGACGGGGCGGGGTCCCTGTGGCTCCCTGCTGGCCGCAGGCAGCTGGCGGAGCGTTTTGAAGGCTAGTTATCCTGTGCGGAGCGTGGACAGCAGTCCTGCTGAGGGCAAGGTTCCCCCCGGTCGTCCGCACAAGCAGGCCCGGCCATCGGCAGGCCTGGCCCGCAGCTGAGGCCCTGGGGGGTGGGTCCTGGACAGTAGGCAGAGGGTGTGAGGCACCGCCCAGCAAGCCCATTTGAGTGTGCCCCTCCCTTAGGGACAGCAGCGTGACCTTCCTAGAGCTGCTGAGGGTCCCAGCACCTGCCGAGTGACAGGGGCCCCAGGCTGGATGCCTGACCTCGTGACCTCACCTTGTGCGGATGAAGAAACTGAGGCCCAGTGCAGCCTGGGCGTCTGGGCCCCGGCCCGCCCGGGCCCGCAGTGCTAACGTGTCTTTCCGGCCCCAGGTGTACATCGGCGACCTCCCGCAGGACTTCCTCCGCATCTCGCCCACGCAGCAGCAGCAGCAGGTGCAGCTGGACGCGCAGGCGGCCCAGCAGCTGCAGTACGGAGGGGCGGTGGGCACAGTGGACCGCCTCAACATCACCGTGGTGCAGGTGGGTGCGGGTGGGGGGGTGGCCGGGTCGGGGGCCAGGTTGTGTGTCAGCGCAGGGAGCTGCTCCGGATTCCAGGCCGTCCTTACACACGTGCCCCAGGAGGGGATGTGACCGATGTGGACATGTCCCCAGGGCTCTGCCCCAAGTGCCGAGGCAGCGGGGTGCGCTCCCCAGCAGAGGGGCCTGCAGGGCTCGGGTCCTCCTCTAGGCCCTCGGCATTGCCCTGCCTGCGAGTCTCCAGGGCTGCCTCTGCACTCGCCTGCGGGGGGCCAGGGACTGGCAGGAGCCACATGGCGGCAGCCGTGTGGCACGGCCCCTAGAGGGTGAGCGTGAGCAGACAGGCCGGGCAGGGGAGGCTCCTGGGGAGTCTTTTGGAAGGGGAGGGGGAGCAGGCCGTGGCCTGGACGCACAGGGCAGGCAGCAGGGGCTGTGTCTCCACGGTCCTTCAGAAGGTTGGCTTCTCGGGTGTGGCGTGCTGGCGGCATCAGTAGGCAGTCTTTGGGACAAAGGTTCATCCTCGGTCCTCTCTGTCGGCCCGTCCCTGCCACGCCACCGCCCAGCCCCTCAGGGCTCTGCATTCGCCCATTGTCGGCCTCGGTCAGGTGCCGGGGAGCGGGTTAGCTATCCCTGGCTGCTCTGGGTGCTTCCTGCCGGGCGGCCCAGGGCTGGCCAGTGCCCCGCTCTGCTCACGGGGGTGGGGTGGGTCCGGCCTTTCCACTGGGTTGTGGCTGGTCTCCGTCGGGGTGGGGCCGCCCTCTCTGGGGACTGGAGATGGGAGCATCCCTCCACATGGCATCTGCAGAGCCAGCCCGAGGGGCCAGCCTCCAGTCTCTGAGAGCAGGCCTCCTCGCCTTCCCCGAGGCCCAGGGCAGCTGTGTTCTGCTGTGGGCTGGGCCTGCCTGGGCCGGGGTCTCTGCAGCGTGGTGTTTGCATGTAAGACTGTGGTCCACCTGGAAGAGACACCTGTTCACAGCAACCTGGTCTACCAAAGCCTCCATCTTACCCATCCAGACTCTTGCGTTCTCTCCCTGTGAATGCGCCCCAGTCCCAAGCAGCCATCGGGCTCCGCCCCCTGGTTCTGACGTGGGCTGTGTTTCAGGCCAAGCTGGCGAAGAACTACGGCATGACCCGCATGGACCCGTACTGCCGGCTGCGCCTGGGCTACGCGGTGTACGAGACGCCCACGGCCCACAATGGCGCGAAGAACCCGCGCTGGAACAAAGTCATCCACTGCACCGTGCCGCCCGGCGTGGACTCCTTCTACCTGGAGATCTTCGACGAGGTGAGGGGCTGCTCCGCCCTGGGCCCTGGGTGCAAGCCCCACCCCGCCGAGTCGGCGGGGGGCGGGAGACTGCCGTTTGAGACCGTCACCTCCCTAGCAGGGGTGCAGGGCGAGCGTGCCGGGCAAGCTCCTCCGGGTCCACCAGGCACGCTGCCTGCGTGCCAGGCCCATACACGCCGTCACCGGAGGATCCCTGGCACCTGTCCCCCCAGACCATGTGAGCAGGGCAGGTGTGAGGGGTCACTCCTGTGCCGGGTGGGACTGCGCTTCTTGGGGGTGCACGTTGCAGGTGGCCCCTCTGAGTGGCCCTGGGATGTGGCAGGTGGAGACGGGGGCTCTTCCTCTGCCCGGTCCTCCAGGCACCGGGCTAGGAGCCCCCGCCCCTCCTGCGGCCCAGCCAGGTGCCTCAGCAGGTAAGTGCGTGAGGGTGGGCAGCGAGGCAGGAGGGGCCCCTCCCCTCTGTCCTAGCCTCCGCTCCCTCTGGAGAGGTTAGCTCGGAGAGCACCGCCTTTCCTCCACCTGTACGGCCCTGCACCTGGGCTCCGGGCACGTGGGGGCCCTTGGTGCCAGGGAGCCGTCTCCACTGACGTGCTGTCTGGGGCTGCGGAGGAGCCCGACCCCAGGGGAGGGGGCTCCTTGAAGGGGCAGGGCTTCGGGAGGTGGTCTGGGGGTGGGGCGAAGTCCTCAGTGCTGGTCCCCCCCCCCGCCACGCCCCTCAGCGCGCCTTCTCCATGGACGACCGCATCGCCTGGACACACATCACGATCTCGGAGGCCCTGCGGCAGGGCGAGGTGGAGGACAAGTGGCACTGCCTGAGCGGGCGGCAGGGTGACGACAAGGAGGGCGTGATCAACCTGGTCATGTCCTACTCGGTGAGTGCGGCGGGGGGCGGGGGGCGGGGGGCCCGGGCAGCGGCACTGGCCAACAAGGTGGAGCCCTCGGCCCCTGGGGGGCTGGGTCTCCATCAGACGCCCAGGGGCCTCACCCAGCCACGGCGTGGTCACGGGGAGAGCCCCCCTGCCCTGTTCAGACCGGGCTGGCTGCAGGGAGGGACCATGTTGGGTGGAGGCTGAGTCACGGGGTCACAGCCCATTTTCTGAGGGGGGCTTCTCTTACGGCCCTGGGGACCCTTCAGTGCAGCAGGGCCTGTCTTGGGCCCTGCCCCCCCCAGGACGTCCTGGTGAGCCGGCCGGGAGGAGGCCCGTGAGTGCGCCCGTGAGTGCGCGCCCCCGTGACCGGTGGTCTCCGGTGTGTTGCAGTCAGTGCCGGCCGCCATGGTGATGCCCCCGCAGCCCGTGGTCCTGATGCCCACCGTGTACCAGCAGGGTGTCGGCTACGTGCCCCTCACGGGTGAGTGCTGCTGCCCCCCCGGGGGCCTTTCTGAGGTGCCGTTAAACGTCAGGGTGCTGTAGTGGTTGGCGCATGGCCCCGAGACAGCCTGGTCCCCAGAGAGGCACAAGGACCCTTCCAGAAGCAAGGGTCAGAGGTGACCCCTGGAATCTTTACGCAGGCGGAGTTCTCCCCAGCTGCTGGCATGGATCAGGGCGGCCCAAGCCTGTGGGAGGGCAGACGGGGTCTTTGCAGCACGTGAGCCGCGGTGACAGGGCTCCCGCAGGCCGTGTGCAGTGCGCTGCTCGTCGACGGTCTGTCGGGTCACGTTCATCTTTGTAAGCCGTTCACCCCCACAGAGGAGCCCTTCGTGGGTGCAGCAGAACCGAGCTGCACTGCAGCTGTCGGGTCTGCGCACTTCCGGATCCTTAGCCTGTGGACTAACACTCACTTCCGGCCAGGACAGCATCTGGACTGGGGGGAAACATAGCTGAGGCAGCCGCTCTTTCCAGGTGTCGGCGCAGGCGATGCGGGACCGTGACCCCGAGAGCAGGGCTGTGGGGGAGCCCCAGCCTCTCAGCGCGGGGCCGGGGCCGGGGTCTAGGCAGAGCAGGCCGCCCACTGCGCCAGCTAGGCGGAGGCGGTGAGCACTGCGTGGGGGCTTTGGGGAGCGGGCGGCACTCATGCAGGGGTGCTGCTCCGGGGTCAGGAGGCCTGGGGACCAGGCCCGGCGCTCTTCGGAGGGCACCATCTGCCAGAGACACTGGGCAGTGCAGGCCACAGTCAGGGCAGAGCCCGCCCGTAGGAAGTGACCGAGGGGACCAGAAACGTCGAGCAGCTGTACCACGTTTCAGAAGTGAAGAGCAGTGTCCTAAGTGACCAGAGAGGGGACCTCAGCAGGGAAGTAGAGACTTAAAGGCACCAAGCAGGAGCTGTCGGCCTGGGACACACAGTGGTCGGACGACCTGGGCTGGCCAGGGTGGGCCTGCCACAAGCTCCGGTCAGTGGCCAGCACAGCCGAGGGCCTCCGTCCTGGGCTTCAGTGGTGCCCGCCCAGCTGGGGGTCTGGATTCGCTGTGTCCTTCCATCGCCTTGAGCTGGGGGTCTGAGGAGGAGCCGGTGGCCTGCTAGGGGCACCAGCAGTGCCCTGTGACCACCGAGTCCCCAGGAGCTGGGCTTCACACTGACGGAAGCCCCGCCCTCCGTTCTGGAGATCAGAGCCCAAAAGCACTGTGTCATGGGCTGAGGGGAGGACGGTTCTTCCTCTCGTCCAGCTTCTGGGTGCAGGTGCTGCTGGACTGGGGGCCGAGTCCCTGGGGTCCCCTCTGTCCTCACATGTCCCTCGGTGCGCCCGTGCCTGCCCGCTTGCAAGGAGACCCGTTGGTGGGTTGAGCCCCTCCCAGTGTGACTTGTGTCCCTGGATTGCGTCTGCGAAGACCCTGTGCCCAGTGAAGTCCCACTCCCATCTGCCGGGCCGGCAGCTCCACCCTCGAGGTCACCGACGCCAGCGGGCTGGGTAGTGGGGCGTCCGCTTTCCGAGCCAGAGGCGGACTGTGTGTCGTGTGCCTGTGGTTGCCGTCCTCGGCGCTCGTGCCTGCCTTTAAAGTTTGCCCTGGAGCGTGTGTTTCGGGGGGAGTAGATTCCTTAAACGGAGGCTCTTTTGCCGCCCTTTGTAAGTTTTGAAACAATCCCAAACTAACAGAAAAGTTACAAAGAGGGGGACGAAATTTTGCCACCAAGTCGCCCGTGTGATGCCTGGTGCCCCGCCCCCAGGTCCTCAGCTGCTGTCGCAGTGGAGGCCAGTGTCGAGCCCGGTGCCCTCTGAGTGTCCGCTGTCTCTCGCTGTCCTGAGCGGCAGGGCGGGCCCAAGTCCTGTGGGTCCTTCCAGGGCGGCGCGTCCCTAGCCTGCGGCTGACCCGGCCACCCCTGTGCACCCGGGCACGGCCGTGCTGTCGGACCTGGTCTCCCTGCGTGAGGAGCGGCAGTGCCGACACCTTGGGCTGAGGTCAGAGTGAAGCCGCTGCGTGTCCGCCTGGGCCGGCCCCGAGACTTCTGGCTTGGCCGACAGCATCAAACCACGCTCAAAAGTGGGGTCAAAGTGCCACCCCGTCCTGGCTCCCTCCAGTGGAGTTCCCAAAGACAGACGTCCGACTCTGAAGGCCGCCCATGGTATGGGGCAGCGCCGGGTGTGAGCCGGTGAGGGGGAGGCTCCGACGCCCACAGGTTCTCCTCCGTCAGGTGCCCTTCCCGAGGGGCCTGCGCCCTCAGCATCTCTGAGCCCTGTCCTGGGCGTTGCTTTGTGCACAGCCCTGCCGGTGCCCGTGTGGTCCCAGCATCTGTGTGGCCGAGAGTGAAGGGGTGGCTCCCCCGGAGTCTCCTGCTGGGACCCCGCAGTGCCCACTCCAGTGGTCTGGTCAGTGTCTCCCACAGCAGTGCAGGCCCCCGGGAGCTGGGGGACGCCGGCCCAGCAGCACACAGCCCTTGCGCTCGGGCACACGGGCTTGGCCTGTCCGACTCCCAGCCAGGCTGGCGGAGGCTGTTCCCTCGGTCAAGAGTGCAACGCTGTCACTCTGCACTGGTCACACTGCAGTGGTCCTCACAGGCCGCGGAAGCGCTCTCTCCTCCACTGTCCACCGGCCCACCGGGGGAGAGGGCGGTCTGGGGGGCCTCCAGGAGGCAGCTGCAGCTGCGGCACAGCTGTCTGGTGGGCTCAGAACCCCAGGAGAGGTCACTCCTGTTGGGGGCACATGCCTCAGTGATGGGACAGGCAGCCCCTCGATCCTGGGTCCTCTGACGAGGAAAGAGGGGTCACGGCGCCCCCACAGTGTCCTCATCACCACCAGCCAAGGTCAGTTTCCTTCTGCTCTGGTGCCACCTGGGTGACCCTGCTCCTGCCAGATGCCACTGTGAGGAGGGGTGAGGGCACCCCTCACCTCCAGGCTGAGGTGACCCACCTGCGGTCGGCCGCCCCGGGGGTGGGGACAGCTGTGGAGGCTCGTGCCCCACAGGGCGGAGCCCGGCAGGGTCTGGAGGGGGCCTCGCCTCGCCCCCTCTGTGCCGTGCCTCAGAGCAGCCGTCCCCTGACCCTGTCCCCTGATCCTGTCTCGTGCCTGCAGGAGTGCCTGCCGTGTGTGGCCCCGGCGTGGTGCCCATGGCCCTGCCCCCGGCCACTGTGAGCACCACGCCCCGCTGGAGCGAGGAGGACCTGAGAGCTGTGCAGGACATGTTCCCCAACATGGACCGCGAGGTGATCCGCTCCGTGCTGGAAGCCCAGAGAGGGAACAAGGACGCGGCCGTCAACTCACTGCTCCAGATGGGCGAAGAGTCCTAGACTCCGCCCCCCGCCCCGCCCTCCGCGCCGCCAGCCCTTTGGACTCGCCTGCCCAGGGTTCCCCGTGAGATTCCTGTCCAGAGCCCTGTGCAGCCCGGCCTTGGAAGCCCGTGTTGCCCAAGTCCATACCCGTTGGGGATGCATGTGGGTTTTTGGCCCCTGAAGGCCACTCTCGGGCTGTCCTCTGGGGGGGGACGAGCAGTGCCCTGCGCGCCAGCCACTTGCCTTCCCGCCAGGACGTGCGTGCTCCACTGCCACCCACCCCTCCCCCCGCTGTCCCTGAGGGTGTTGTTGGAGCAGCTGCCTCGGCTGCAGCCAGAGGCCGAGCAGCCCCTGGCTTGGTGAACGGCCTGCAGCCCTGTGACCTGCAGGGTCGGACATGCTCCCTGGAGGGCTGTGCCGGATCTCGCCAGCTGGAAGCCTCCCTCCCTCCCTTCCTCCCTCCCTCCCTCCCTCCCTGGGTGTTCTCTGTGTGCCTGGCTGCTCCACGGGTCCTGGGGTGACATGGCTCGGCCAGGCCTCAACCACGATGACTGCCTGAGCACAGCCAGCTGCCCGGCCCTGTCCCAGTCCCAGGTGGTGTCGGGCCAGAGCGGTCCTGAGCTCAGAGGTCCCTTCTGCCCTTCCCCGTGGGGCTGCACCGCCTGCCCTGGTTTGCCGTGTGCACCAGAAGCTGACGCCGGGGTGAGAAGGGGTGGGCAGGGGGCTCTGCTGAGCGAGGGGCGTCGGGGCTGCTGGCTGCCTGCCGACGCTGGTTCTGGGAGCACCGCTGTCCTGGGAGCTCAGCCTGGTGGCAGAGCAGGGTCTGCGGGGGCCCCTGACCTGCGGGAGGCGCACGAGGCGGCCTGCACCCTGGCCCTGCTCCGGCCGTGGATACAGGGCAGGGACAGTTTGGGTGAAGTCTAGTGATGTTGGAGGTTTCCCAGAAACAACGCACTTTAACTCACACCCGCGAGCTGGCCTCTCGTGTCCGCGCGTTTGGGGGTTCAGTTTGTGTCCAGCTGCAGTCACCTCCCTCCCCCAGGAGCTGCCCCGGCCCCGGCCTGCAGCCGCGCGGCCTTCCTGGTGGGGGTGTCGGCAGGGTCGGCAGGAGGAAGTTAGGTCTGGGCTCCAGGCTCCTGCCCCCCCTGCCCGTGCGGGCGGGTCCTCGTTGAGAAGACTGCCACCTGGGGCTGTGTCCGGTCAGGGGCCCTGCTGGCGGTGTGTTCCCGTGAGTCTAGAGAAAGTGGGGTCTGGGTGGCACTGGCGAGGGGGCGTCCACGCAGGCCCACCGCCACCCAAGAGGTCCTGACCCCTGGCCGGAGCCCGGTGAACGCCGCCCTCTCCTGCTCCCACCAGCACAGGTCAGCGGTGGGGCTTGTGCCCGTGACGCCGGGTGCTCCCCAGCCGGTGAAGCACTAGGCCGCCTGCGGCTCGTGAGTGTGCCGGGCCCAGGCTGAGACCAGCACTGCGCCCTGTCTTCCCGCAGCCAGGTCCCGGGGAGGCCGCGCTCGGCCAGAAGGTGACCCGGTGTGATCCCGGTGTGTCGGCACGATGATTTAGGGGCCTGCGCTTGGCACATCCCGCTCTCCTTTCCCACGGACACCTCCTGTTGATCCGAGAAAGGCCCCGCTGCGCCAGGCCTGCCGTAGGCACAGCAGGTCCCTGCAGACACGGGCCTCAGGGCCCACCTGTGTGCAGGCCGCGGTCCTTCCCACCTTCTCTTCGGGTCTCCTGAGCGGCCCCCCCACCCCCATCCCCAGCTTCCTTCCGCGTCGGCGCAGGCGAGGCCTCATGTGTCTGGCTCTTCTCGTGGGTCCAGTGTCCAGATTTTTCTTTGATTGTAAAATATATTTTTACTTTTCAGCCTTCTAATTTAACAAATGATCTATATAAAGATAGAGAATTAAAGTCCTTCAGGGAAATTGATTGTTGTTGTCCCTGACTGTCTGTAACTGAGCAGCTCATAGCCACATGGCTGGCGACCGGGTTGGGACAAGCGCCCTGCAGTGGACTCGCGGCAGGCTCACGTGAACAAGGCTCACGTCCAGTGGGCCGTTGGGGCCCTGGGCCAGGCCCCCGCCACGGCCCAGACCAAGCGGCAGCCACTTGGGAGCACAGCCCCTGCCATCCCCGCAGCACAGGCCCACGCAGACCCCGGGGCCACTGCCGCCGCCCCTGTCTGGAGGAGACCGCCCTGTGCCCTCGTGGCCTCTCTGGTTCCACATTCAGAGCTGGTCTTGACGCGCCTGTGGGAGCCGTGGGCTTCTGGCCAGCGGGTTCTGGGGGAGCACGGAGCTGCAGCTGGGCTTCCTTTGAAACTTGGGGTTTGTAAGTAGGGAGCCCCAGAAGGACTCCCTCCCCCAGCACGGAGCAAGGCCCCTGGCATCCTTAGGGTTTTAAGTCCCCCACGAAAAGGCGGGCCCCACGTTTCTGCCAGCGAAGGGGAGGGGCCTGCTGGGCTGGCCTCCCCGCCGCTGGCGCAGTGGTGGGAGACGCGGTCTTAGTGTTCAGTTGAGTTTGAACACCCCCCAGAACACCCCCGAGATGAGTGCCTTCGTGGCCCTGAGCTGTGAGGCGTCAGCAGCACCAAAGCAGTGGCCCTCGTTTGGAGAGCAGGGACGGGAGTCACAGGACTGGCAGTGCAGGCGGCGTCCCCGTCGGTTCTCGGGAAGCCCGGCCGGCGAGGAAACCCCGTGACACCACCGTGGGGGCGGCACAGCTGCCCAGACGCGCTCGGTAGAGACCAGGGCACTGAGCGGGGGTTCGTTCCGGGTCAGGGCACGCGCCCGGGCTGTGGGCCGGGTCCCGGGCGGGGTGTGCAGGAGAGGCAGCCACACACTGTTTCTCCTTCACCCTTCCTTCTCCTCTCTGAAGATAAATGCTGTTAAAAACTAAACAACGAGCCAGGGCGCAAAGGACTGTCGTCTGCAGCACAGGCAGCAGACCCGAGGCCCGTGGCCGCGTCAGCCGCCCCCTTGTCCGGCCTGGCAGCTCGTTTCTACCTGGGGCAGCGCCGAGCTCGCGTTTGAACTGCTAGGGAGCAGTTACAACTGTACAGTCCGAACATTACACTCAACCCTTTGAAGGCAACCACGAGACGGATGTGGCCCGGTGACAATGAGTTTGACACCCCGGGTCTATAGTAAGGTGACAGACTGAGCCCAGGGGACCGAGCAGAGAGCAGGGCTCGGGGTGACAGTGCAGGGGTAGGTGACACTGGGGAGGAGTGGAGGCAGACCCCGGCTCTGTGCCGCTCGGGCTCATCAGTCCTGGGTGGGTGGGAATCGTGGGGGGTGCAGGAGCAGGAGTGGCCGGCAGCCTCTCCTGGCCGACCTGCTTTGGAGCCGCGTCTCTTGGGTGAAGACTGGCAGCTTCGGGGAGACCTGGACGGTGAGGGGAGGTCAGCTCTCAGCGCGGCAGCTGCTGCCTGTCTCCCCCGCCCCACCATGGCGCCCGCCCTCCTGGAGCCCCGGCACAGCGTGTGGGAGCTGGCGTGGGAGCAGGGTGCCGTGCTCCAGACCCGGGGCTTCCTCTTGGGGGTACAAGGCGGGGGCGGCCGTTGCCCCCGCCTGAGGCGACTTCAGGCCATTGCCCATCCTCCTTGACCTTCCCCGTTGCACCCCTTTAGGGGGTGGACATGGGAGACGAGGACATTCAGACAGACACAGGGCGAGCTTACAGGAGTGGCCTCAGGGGCGACCCAGGGGGCGTGGCCTCACCTGCAACAAACCTACAACCTCGGCAACCTGCAGGGCCAGCTCCAGGGGGCCTGTCCCGACCAGGCTCCCTGAGGACAGGCTGTCACTGAAGAGCCCGGGCCTCTACCCCACCGGCCTGCTGCCCCTGGCTGTCCTGTCCCCTTGGAGTCATTTCTCCTTCCTCCGAGGGCCAAGCCCCCGCATCTCGGGGCCCTCGCCTGCTCCTGACTGGCACGTTCACAGCCTGTACCCCTGGCTGGTGCAGACAGGGAGCCCTGCTCAGGTGCAGCCCAGAAAGGAGAGGGGAGTCCCTGCCCGGGAGAGAGGACAAGTCCGCAAGTTGGTGTGTGCCTGGTTCCCTGAGGAAAGGGCACCCCGAGGAGGGAGGGGGGGCGCCCTGCCGGCGGTGGGAGTGGCTCCCTCAGGGCCGGATCCACATGCTGCCCCACCCCCAGCCTCCACCTGCAGCCCGTTCCCTAAAGAGTCTCGAACCCCCTGCGTTTGAAGTAACGGGGAGAGTGTACCTGAGACTTTGACCCCTGGCTCCTGCCAGGGCCCCCACAGCCGGCTGGTGACTGACCCCGGCCTCCGTGCCCCCTGCCCTGCTGCCCCTCCCAGCAGGTGCCGCACAGGCCCCCGGTGCTGCACAGCCCGGGGGGCCCCTGCACAGCCCAGTCCCCAGGGGGTCAGGGGGCCCAGTCGGCTAAAGAGGCAGCAGGACCACCACGTGTACACGATGCTCAGCGTTTATTTCCGAGGTCGGGGCTGGGGGAGCAAAGGTGGTGTTTCGGCCCTGACCCCTCCCCTCCGCCCCCCCCCCCCGGCCGCCCTGTGGCCGGGGCTGCTCAGCCCCAGATCCAAACGCAGGCAGGCAGCCACCCAGCCTGCACCGCCGCTGCGGGGAGGCAGCAGGCCCCGCCCAGGCAGGTGTCAGAGCTGTGGGGGGCGGGCCACACTCCCAGGGCCCACAGGCCTGCGGTGAGGGCAGCACCGCCCCGCCCCTCTGATGCAGGGGCGGGGCCAGTCGGGCGACCTGGATGGGGGGGCGGAGGAGGGCCTCCCTGGCTTGTGCCTTCCTCAGCTGGACCCCCACTGCACTGTCCCCCGCCGGGCTGTGGGTTCCACCCAGGGCAGGTGGAAGGTGGGAAGGTGGGAAGGTGGGTGGGGCAGAATGGCAGCAGACGGTGGTGGCCCCCTAGGACAGCACAACAGAGGCGGGGTCCGTGGGAGCGGCCGGCGAGGGCACGCAGGCGGGGTTGCAGCTGCACTGCTCCACGTGGGTGTAGGAGTGCTGCACGGAGGTCCCATCGGGGCACCGCAGGGCCACCACCTCCTCGCGGGCCCTGGTCTCCCGGCAGCAGGTGCACCGCCGCTGCATGGCCTGGGCCTCGGGGGAGTACCTGCAGACACACGACCCCTCAGAGACCCTCAGACACAGCCTCACCGCCCCGAGCAGCCCTGTGCTCGTCTGCATGCTCGGGCTTCACGGCCCCGGCCGGGGCGGCCCTGTGGGCCGTCCAGGTCATATTGGACCCCTAGCTTTTCCGGCCGGGCACCCTCTCTCACTGCACTGAACTTTCGGACCCCACAGACCCCTCCTCCGGGAGCCGGCCCTGGGCCAGTCCACCCGCCTCTTCTGGCCAAGGGCTCACAGCTGGTCACAGCCCAGGCCAGGGGGCGGGCTCTGCCCGGAGAGCCCGGCAGGTGGAGGGCCCTGCGTCTGCCCGGGAGCGCAGCTGGCCGTCTGTGCCCGGCTCTGAGGGGCGCTGTGTAGATGGACGGATGGATGTGGACAGAGGGGCGTTCCTCCGTGGTCGCCCCCTCCCCTTCCGGACCACCCAGGACCCAGCGCAGGCTGTCGGGCCCAGGGCGGGCCGCACGGGGTCACCGGGTGGCGATCTGTGCAGCCAGGGCACCTTCCCACTGGCCTGCGGGCCCGCAGCGGGGTGGGCAGGCGTGGCCGCAGCCCACTCACTTGGACACTCCTGGGCAGGGGCCCTCGCAGAAGGTCATGTTCACCGGGGCCTCGCAGCCCCGGTGTCGCAGCACCGTCCTGTTGATGCGGACCCGGCAGGAGTCTGGAGAGAGGAGAGGCGGTGGAGGCGGGGGCACCTCAGTGGGCCCGACCCTGGGGAGCTGGCCACTGAGCCAATGGGCGGAGGCTGGACGGAGCTGGAGGGCAGGGGCGGGAGGGCAGCCCCAACTCACCCTCTTCCTCGCAGGAGTAGCAGCAGCCTGTTTTCCGGAGCAGGCCCTGCAGCAGGGGACAGAGAGAGGGCTGGGGGTGGGCGTGAGCTCCAGAGGGCCTCCTGGGCGGGGATTCCAGGGCAGGTGGGCGGGGCCTCCCGGGAAAGGCGGCCCCAAGCTGTCAGATACCCCTGGCACACACCCTGCAACTGGACAGGTCTGGGCAGGCCTCGGGCCTCGGGATCAGCACGTGGACCCCGCTCTCGACCTGGCAGTGGTAGTGGGTGCAGTTGTCCACGAGGCTGTTGACCCAGGTCTCGTTGGGCTGAAATGCACGGGGGCGAGTGGAGACCGGGGTGAGGGTTATCTCGTGGTCCGGAAGGGCCGGAGGGGAGGGTCTCCCTGGTGGAGGGCTGAGACCCAGCCCCGCCTTACCTGCAGTACCCGGCCATCAGGTGTGAGGCAGGCTGTCTGCAAGCACTTCCCACAGCACTGCCCGGCCGCCGCCACCGAATACTGGTAACCCTGGGGGTCAGACAGGAACTTGTCCGGGCCTGGCGCTGAGGGGAGGAGGGCGCCCCCTAGTCCTTCCTTAGCCTCACCCCTTCCTCCAGCCCCCTCTCCACCTACTTCTGCCTTCCTAGAATCCGACCCCAGTCCCCGGCAGCCTGCAAGCCCCGCCTGGCCCTGTCCCCTCCACACACACACACACACACACACACACACACACACTCTCACTCTCTCTCTCTTCCTGCTTTGTGACCTCTTTTCAGGGAAAAACAAGGCCTATGCAAAGGTTGAGCTAAAGAATCTGCCCTGGGGTCTGGATGCCAGTGACGGAGATGCAACCAGGTGTGCCAGCCAGGGGTCGCTCACCTGGGGACAGGTGGTGTTGCAGGTGTCCTCCTCACAGTGCACGGTTGGCTCCTGGTTGTCCACAGACCGGCAGGTGCATGTGTGGCAGGGAATGGCCGCTGGGAACGTCGCCCCGATCTGCAGGGGAGGGGAGGGGACAGGAGGGCGTGGGTGGATGGCCTGGTGGTGAGGGCACCAGGCAGGGCCCAGGGCTGGGGCTTCTGCCTGGGCTGGGGGGGGCCAGGGGACAGCGAGGCCCACAGCGGCGCTCTTCCTTCTGCAGACGCAGTCACGGTGTGCCCCTGGCCGGGGGCAGGCTGGGAGAGCAGCAGGAGCCCAGGCAGAGGCAGGACCCTGAGTGGCAGGGTCCTGGGCAGACAGACAGAGGGGACTAGGAGGGTGTGTGACGCCCCAGCAACCTTCCGGGAGGGGGCGTCTGGGAGGCTGCCAGGTGTGGGGCCACAGCCCTGCTGAGCACTCCACACAGGGTGCCCCACCCATGGGTCCCTGCATCCCCACCAACTCTGCTCCCAGGGCTGGAGGGGCAGATGGCTGAGTGTGTGGCACCGAGAAGCGGAGGTCCCCAGGGCCCCGGGTGCCCCTCGGTGCATGCGCAGAGCCGATCGGCCCCGCCCCCCCCCCCCCCGGGCCGCCGAGCCCTTCCTTACCCCGTAGGAGGTGCCGTTGTAGGCGCACAGCTTGGGCCCTGGAAGGGAAGGGGGGGCTGAGGACCTGCCGGACAGTGGGAGGGCGCCCCAGGCACGTCCCCAGGGCACTCACTGCAGGAGTAGGTGGGGCAGCACTGGTCCTCCTGCTGGGTGCGCACCAGCTCCTCTCGGGGCCCACACTGCGGGGGGCTCTGGTGGCAGGCGCTCGTGTTGCAGACTGCGGGAGAAGCACGGCGCCGTTGCGGTGACCCTGCGCTCCCCGCGGCGCCCGCGCCCGGGGGTCCCCACACAGGAGCCAGTGAAGTGGTTTTTTTCTCTGGCCCTTCTGCGTTTTCTTCAGGTCCCCTCACTGTCACCTCCCTGGTCCTTCCCATGTCCCTGGACAGGCCAGAGGTCACCAGCCTCACTTTTAGGAGGAAAAACGACCCCGCCTCAGGGGTCCAGCGGTGGTCAGACCTGCCCACGGGCCCTGCTGGCTGGGCATGCTGTGCCCCCCCTTGGCTGCCCCACCCCCCAGCCCACTGGGGAGCGGGGCTCACCGCACAGCATCTCCTTGCAGCACGGGCTGCCAGCCTGGGGCCTGATCACAGGCACGAAGCCAGGCCGGCCACAGTCCGGGGGCTGGGCCTGGGCCTCACACCGCACCGGGACGCACCGCACCGACACGGAGCCTTCGTCACACACGCAGGTTTGGCAGTTGCTGATCCACTGCTCCCCAGGCTGGAACAGAGCAGGCCAGGGTCCCCGAGGGCTCCCGGACGGTGCCCCCGCCTCCTGGGCTGTGCCCCGCCGCAGGCCAGACCCTGGCCCTCAGCTTGGCCTGGTCAGCACTTGGCCTCTCTTTCCAGCCCCGTCTCGGGAGCAGCCATCGTAACAGACGTGTTACACACCCAGGTACCTCCCCCAACCAGCCCCACCACAGCCGCCCGGGCAGAGCCGGCTGCTCCAACCAGAGAACACTCCCTCCCTCCTTCCGCTTGAGTGGGGTGGGGCCAGGTGGGGGCAGAACCACTCACGAATTTGGGAAACCCGTCTGGTCCCACGCAGGCTAGAAGGAGAGGGGAAAGGCGGTCACTGGAGGTCCTGGGGTTTGTGGCCTGCTGGCAGGGGCCCCGGCCGCAGGGACAGGTCCTCTCAGGCCTGGCCACGCCCAGCCACACCCCCAGCCAAGGCCACTGCCCTCCCACCTGGAATAGAGACCCCTGGAGAGCTCGGGGGGCGGCCGCACTGCTGCCCGCAGGACAGGCCGGCGCTGGACTGGGACCGCGGGCGGTCTGAGGCCGAGGCAGGACGGGCCCAGGACGGAGGTGTCCGTCGGGTACCACCCCACCCTATGTGCCCTCTGCCCCCTCTGCAGCCCTGGTCCCGGGCGGTGCTTACGGCACTCGGGCACACAGATGTCCGTGTAGGAGTTGAAGAGGATGTGGCTGTCGGGACAGAAGCAGCCCTCCACCAGCCTCTTGCTCTCTGGGAACTGTCTCCTGCAAGGTGAGGGGGGGTGGCCCTAGGACCCTCCGTCCAAGGGGACAGGCAGCAGGAGGGAGAAGGGCCGCAGGCATGGGTGGGGTGCTGGGCTGGTCAGCTGCCCTGAACACCCCGTGGGATCCAGGTCGGAGGTCTGGGTGGGGGAAGAGCACCCCAGAAGTTGTGGCCCCGCCTTCTGGCCCCTCCAGGCTGCTCCCAGGCCCTTTGGACACGGTCCCCACAGCTCCCACCCCCCAGCTGGCGCTCACCTGGAGTCACAGGACCTGGGCTGCGCAGGTCCACACGCCTCGTACACCTTTCCAGGTGGGCAGGTGAGGTCTGGGGGCACAGAGAAGGGTGTCAGGTGGGCCAAAGTGGCCAGGGCCCCTGGCGGCGGCCCCAGACTCACCGCACAGCCCGCCGGTGGCATTCCGCCAGTCGCTGCACGCGCCCCGGACACGGCAGAGCGCCGCATAGGCCTCCAGGCTCTGGCAGGGTGCCTGGGGGTGGCTGCTGTGGCAGGTGTCACTGACGCAGGTGCTGAAGAACAGGCCGGGCGGGATGAGGCTGTGGCACTCTTTGAAGACACTGTGGGCAGGGCGGTCAGAGGTTGGCACCAGCGTGGGGAGCTGGGCCCCAGCAGGCCCACCCGCCCGGGGGCAGGGGGCAGGGGCTCACTGGCTCAGCAGCAGCTCACACAGGGGCGCAGGGGGGCACGAGGAAGCAGAGGGAGCAGTGGGCCACGGGGCCGGGGAGTGGGCGGTGGTCGTGGGGGGGCCTGTTGGTGCCCCGCAGCTCCCGGGGACCAGCCAGTCCTTGGCCATGTCCTGACAGGTGGGGGCCACGGTGCCGTCTGGCCGGCGGCAGTCATCCGTCCTGTTGTTGGTGCAAGTGCCTGGGGAGTCAAGGGCCGGGAGGGTCACCCTGGGGACCAGGCTGGGCACCCGGCTGCCCGGCCACAGGCCTCTCACCTTCCCTTCGCCCCACTGGAGTTATTGGTTTCGAACCACCAATCACAGCCCGGGGCAGACGACCGGGGGCGTGGCCACGTCTGGCTGCGGGCGCGGAGGGCGGAGCGTTCCCCACTCACCGCACTGGCCCTCTGTGTTGTTGCCGAAGTGGCTGTAGGACAGCTGGATCTGGAAGACGTGCCCATCTAAGGTGACGCTGACGCCGATGGCGGGAATGTCGACACGCACCGTGGTGCTTCCGGTCACGGACACATTCACGCCGTCCTTGCTGAAGCCATGGCTCACCGGGACCTGGTCAAAGAGGACCTGGGGACACATCGGGGGACCTGTCGCAGGGGCCCGGGGGCCCCACCTCTGCACTCACCCCTCGGTGCTGACACGCCCCTGGTGGCTGGGTCCCTGTCCCCCACTGCCTGGGTGCCGCTTGCTGCCCTGCACCCACCAGGCTCTCCTCCTGCCCGCTGGCGCTGGCGGTGGTGGTGAGGACCACCTCCACGGACGCGTAGTGCACGATGAGGGCGCGGGGACACGAGGCCGCGGCCGCAGCCGCCCCGCAGTAGTGGCTGTCGAGCAGGATGGAGAGGTTCCCGCGGCGGGGGTGGATCTCCCTCACCAGCACGTGGGTGCAGGTGTCGTGGAAGGTGTAGGGGGTGCCGTCGAAGGTGAGGTACTTGGAGCCCCCCCAGCTGCTGCAGGAGCCTGTGGGCACAGACCGCGCCCTCACCCAGTGCCTCCCGAGGCCGCCTGGGGGGCCCCTGGGGCATCAGCGGCTGCACTTATGAAACGGGCGAGCGTGCAGGCTCCCGGCCTCAATGACTTGCCCACTGAGACCCTGCAGGTGCGGCCTCGTCAGGAAGGGTCTTCACAGCTCTTGCTAAGTGAAGGGTCATGAGATGAAGTCCCCCAGGTTACCAGCTAGGTGGCCCTGAACCCAATGACGAGTGTCCTTAGAGAAGATGCAGAGACCGGAGGGGCACCGTGAACGGGGTGGGGGGGCACAGCCACCACCCAGGAGCAACTGGATGAGGCAGGAAGGGCCCTCCCCTCCCGTTCTGGGGAAGAGTGGACCCGTGACACTGTCGCCGCGGGCCTCCAGGCCGAGGTCAGCCATTAAAGCACCTATTGTGGGCTAGTTCCTGGGACCAATGCCACAGAAGGTCGCTCAAGACCTCGGGAAATGCGCCCCCCGCGAACCCACTGCCATGGCCACTCGCCCTTCAAGCAGGCGGAAGCTCCCATACCCGGCCCCGCCCCCGCCCTCCCTGCCACCACTCACACTCGCACTCATAGTGGAAATCGCAGGGGTCCAGTGGGCTTTGCACCTTCACCGGCGGGTGCCCGTTCACGCAGGTGCCCTTGTCCACCGGCTTCGGCTTCAGCAGGGAGATGTGATTGTCGCCCTCGCACCGGGCCACGGTGCAGTTCTCCAGCGTCCAGGTCTCGTTCACCTGGTGGACAGTGGACACCAGCTCGCTGGGCAGGTGCAGGACACCTCGCTGGGCACCTGCCCCCCCCGACACTGCTGCAGCCTCGGCCCCTGTGGCCCAGCATAGGGCTGTCCTCCGACCTGACACGTCCCCAACGCTGTGCTGCCCTCCTGCTGGACCCCCCATGAGGGCGCACTCAGGGCTGGGGGTTGTGGCCCAGATGGACGCAGCAGCAGCCCCTGACCCCAAGCACACAACGAGGACAGACAGCGAGGAAGCAGGGCGCCCACCTGCCGGGGAGGGTTGATGAGGTTGCAGCCGGGGGGCAGGGGGCTAACGTGGGCGGCAGTCGGGGACTGGGCGGAAGTGGGGAGGGGGCAGTGGCCCTGGAAGCGGTCCAGTTCACAGTGCTGGTTGCAGACGGCGTAGAACTGGCAGCCGGCTTGGTCAGTCCTGTTGTAGACGATGTCCCCTGCCAACGACAAAAGTACAAATATAAGACACCCAGGCCAGCAAAGGAGGGCTCCCCAGAAGCACATGTAACCGCCCAAAGAATGACCTGGGGGCACTGACCAGCGGAATCAAGATTCAGGCCCCGGAGTGCAGCGGTAGGGGATGGACCCTCACTGACCTGGTGAGAAAAGCTGCCCAAACGCCCGGCACAAGCAGGAGGTGGTGAAGGACGGTGAAAAAGGGCCCTGGGTGGTTCCCGGCAAGGGGCTGGTGGTCAGAGGACCGGGGGGCGACGGTGATTCCCAGGTGCTGGGCCCTGGGCTGGAGGTGGCCCGGGTTGTGCTGGCTGAGGTGCCGGGGCCTGGGGTCTGTTGGGTGGGCCCTGGGACCCGGGTGGTGCCCCGGGAGGATCCGCTTAGGGTGGTGGCCGTTGTGGAGGGCAGCCCGGAGGTGCCGGTGCTCCCCGCAGGCGAGGAAGGGGCCGTGCTGGTGGCCGGAGTGGAGGGGCAGTGACGGTAGTCGTCACAGCAGAGCAGGCGGACCTCGTAGTTGAGGCACAGCGGGAACTTGCCGCTCTGGTCGCGGTTGCGGCACACCAGGCCCTCCGCCAGGCTGCACAGCACCACCTGGCCCAGCTGCTGCAGGGGCACCTGGGGCTCGGACTGGGCCCGGCACTCCAGGCCCGCGGGCCGCGCACACGGAAGCCTGCCGGCCGCCCGGAGGTTGTCGAAGGTCTCAAAGTCGCCGCCCGAGGGCCCCGGCATGGGGTAGCTCTGGTCCAGCCAGTCTGTCCAGACACAGCGCGGCACACACTCAGGGGCCTTGCCCGGTGTGGTGGCGGTGGCCGAGGACAGCCTGGGTGAGGTCCGGGTCTCCACCGGAGTCACCGTGGGAGTGGGGGCCGCCGATGAAGGGCCCTGGGTGGTTCCCGGCAAGGGGCTGGTGGTCAGAGGACCGGGGGGCGACGGTGATTCCCAGGTGCTGGGCCCTGGGCTGGAGGTGGCCCGGGTTGTGCTGGCTGAGGTGCCGGGGCCTGGGGTCTGTTGGGTGGGCCCTGGGACCCGGGTGGTGCCCCGGGAGGATCCGCTTAGGGTGGTGGCCGTTGTGGAGGGCAGCCCGGAGGTGCCGGTGCTCCCGGGAGGCGAGGAAGGGGCCGTGCTGGTGGCCGGAGTTGAGGGGCAGTGACGGTAGTCGTCACAGCAGAGCAGGCGGACCTCGTAGTTGAGGCACAGCGGGAACCTGCCGCTCTGGTCGCGGTTGCGGCACACCAGGCCCTCCGCCAGGCTGCACAGCACCACCTGGCCCAGCTGCTGCAGGGGCACCTGGGGCTCGGACTGGGCCCGGCACTCCAGGCCCACGGGCCGCGCACACGGAAGCCTGCCGGCCGCCCGGAGGTTGTCGAAGGTCTCAAAGTCGCCGCCCGAGGGCCCCGGCATGGGGTAGCTCTGGTCCAGCCAGTCTGTCCAGACACAGCGCGGCACACACTCAGGGGCCTTGCCCGGTGTGGTGGCGGTGGCCGAGGACAGCCTGGGTGAGGTCCGGGTCTCCACCGGAGTCACCGTGGGAGTGGGGGCCGCCGATGAAGGGCCCTGGGTGGTTCCCGGCAAGGGGCTGGTGGTCAGAGGACCGGGGGCGACGGTGATTCCCAGGTGCTGGGCCCTGGGCTGGAGGTGGCCCGGGTTGTGCTGGCTGAGGTGCCGGGGCCTGGGGTCTGTCGGGTGCCCTCTGAGACCCGGGTGGTGCCCCGGGAGGATCCGCGTAGGGTGGTGGCCGTTGTGGAGGGCAGCCCGGAGGTGCCGGTGCTCCCGGGAGGCGAGGGAAGGGGCCGTGCTGGTGGCCGGAGTTGAGGGGCAGTGACGGTAGTCGTCACAGCAGAGCAGGCGGACCTCGTAGTTGAGGCACAGCGGGAACTTGCCGCTCTGGTCGCGGTTGCGGCACACCAGGCCCTCCGCCAGGCTGCACAGCACCACCTGGCCCAGCTGCTGCAGGGGCACCTGGGGCTCGGACTGGGCCCGGCACTCCAGGCCCGCGGGCCGCGCACACGGAAGCCTGCCGGCCGCCCGGAGGTTGTCGAAGGTCTCAAAGTCGCCGCCCGAGGGCCCCGGCATGGGGTAGCTCTGGTCCAGCCAGTCTGTCCAGACACAGCGCGGCACACACTCAGGGGCCTTGCCCGGTGTGGTGGCGGTGGCCGAGGACAGCCTGGGTGAGGTCCGGGTCTCCACCGGAGTCACCGTGGGAGTGGGGGCCGCCGATGAAGGGCCCTGGGTGGTTCCCGGCAAGGGGCTGGTGGTCAGAGGACCGGGGGGCGACGGTGATTCCCAGGTGCTGGGCCCTGGGCTGGAGGTGGCCCGGGTTGTGCTGGCTGAGGTGCCGGGGCCTGGGGTCTGGCGGGTGGGCCCTGGGCCCCGGGTGGTGCCCCGGGAGGATCCGCGTAGGGTGGTGGCCGTTGTGGAGGGCAGCCCGGAGGTGCCGGTGCTCCCCGCAGGCGAGGAAGGGGCCGTGCTGGTGGCCGGAGTGGAGGGGCAGTGACGGTAGTCGTCACAGCAGAGCAGGCGGACCTCGTAGTTGAGGCACAGCGGGAACTTGCCGCTCTGGTCGCGGTTGCGGCACACCAGGCCCTCCGCCAGGCTGCACAGCACCACCTGGCCCAGCTGCTGCAGGGGCACCTGGGGCTCGGACTGGGCCCGGCACTCCAGGCCCGCGGGCCGCGCACACGGAAGCCTGCCGGCCGCCCGGAGGTTGTCGAAGGTCTCAAAGTCGCCGCCCGAGGGCCCCGGCATGGGGTAGCTCTGGTCCAGCCAGTCTGTCCAGACACAGCGCGGCACACACTCAGGGGCCTTGCCCGGTGTGGTGGCGGTGGCCGAGGACAGCCTGGGTGAGGTCCGGGTCTCCACCGGAGTCACCGTGGGAGTGGGGGCCGCCGATGAAGGGCCCTGGGTGGTTCCCGGCAAGGGGCTGGTGGTCAGAGGACCGGGGGCGACGGTGATTCCCAGGTGCTGGCCCCTGGGCTGGAGGTGGCCCGGGTTGTGCTGGCTGAGGTGCCGGGGCCTCGGGTCTGTTGGGTGGGCCCTGGGACCCGGGTGGTGCCCCGGGAGGATCCGCTTAGGGTGGTGGCCATTGTGGAGGGCAGCCCCGGAGGTGCCGGTGCTCCCGGGAGGCGAGGGAAGGGGCCGTGCTGGTGGCCGGAGTTGAGGGGCAGTGACGGTAGTCGTCACAGCAGAGCAGGCGGACCTCGTAGTTGAGGCACAGCGGGAACTTGCCGCTCTGGTCGCGGTTGCGGCACACCAGGCCCTCCGCCAGGCTGCACAGCACCACCTGGCCCAGCTGCTGCAGGGGCACCTGGGGCTCGGACTGGGCCCGGCACTCCAGGCCCGCGGGCCGCGCACACGGAAGCCTGCCGGCCGCCCGGAGGTTGTCGAAGGTCTCAAAGTCGCCGCCCGAGGGCCCCGGCATGGGGTAGCTCTGGTCCAGCCAGTCTGTCCAGACACAGCGCGGCACACACTCAGGGGCCTTGCCCGGTGTGGTGGCGGTGGCCGAGGACAGCCTGGGTGAGGTCCGGGTCTCCACCGGAGTCACCGTGGGAGTGGGGGCCGCCGATGAAGGGCCCTGGGTGGTTCCCGGCAAGGGGCTGGTGGTCAGAGGACCGGGGGCGACGGTGATTCCCAGGTGCTGGCCCCTGGGCTGGAGGTGGCCCGGGTTGTGCTGGCTGAGGTGCCGGGGCCTCGGGTCTGTCGGGTGGGCCCTGGGACCCGGGTGGTGCCCCGGGAGGATCCGCGTAGGGTGGTGGCCGTTGTGGAGGGCAGCCCGGAGGTGCCGGTGTTCCCGGGAGGCGAGGGAAGGGGCCGTGCTGGTGGCCGGAGTTGAGGGGCAGTGACGGTAGTCGTCACAGCAGAGCAGGCGGACCTCGTAGTTGAGGCACAGCGGGAACTTGCCGCTCTGGTCGCGGTTGCGGCACACCAGGCCCTCGGCCAGGCTGCACAGCACCACCTGGCCCAGCTGCTGCAGGGGCACCTGGGGCTCGGACTGGGCCCGGCACTCCAGGCCCGCGGGCCGCGCACACGGAAGCCTGCCGGCCGCCCGGAGGTTGTCGAAGGTCTCAAAGTCGCCGCCCGAGGGCCCCGGCATGGGGTAGCTCTGGTCCAGCCAGTCTGTCCAGACACAGCGCGGCACACACTCAGGGGCCTTGCCCGGTGTGGTGGCGGTGGCCGAGGACAGCCTGGGTGAGGTCCGGGTCTCCACCGGAGTCACCGTGGGAGTGGGGGCCGCCGATGAAGGGCCCTGGGTGGTTCCCGGCAAGGGGCTGGTGGTCAGAGGACCGGGGGGCGACGGTGATTCCCAGGTGCTGGCCCCTGGGCTGGAGGTGGCCCGGGTTGTGCTGGCTGAGGTGCCGGGGCCTCGGGTCTGTTGGGTGGGCCCTGGGACCCGGGTGGTGCCCCGGGAGGATCCGCTTAGGGTGGTGGCCATTGTGGAGGGCAGCCCGGAGGTGCCGGTGCTCCCGGGAGGCGAGGAAGGGGCCGTGCTGGTGGCCGGAGTTGAGGGGCAGTGACGGTAGTCGTCACAGCAGAGCAGGCGGACCTCGTAGTTGAGGCACAGCGGGAACTTGCCGCTCTGGTCGCGGTTGCGGCACACCAGGCCCTCCGCCAGGCTGCACAGCACCACCTGGCCCAGCTGCTGCAGGGGCACCTGGGGCTCGGACTGGGCCCGGCACTCCAGGCCCACGGGCCGCGCACACGGAAGCCTGCCGGCCGCCCGGAGGTTGTCGAAGGTCTCAAAGTCGCCGCCCGAGGGCCCCGGCATGGGGTAGCTCTGGTCCAGCCAGTCTGTCCAGACACAGCGCGGCACACACTCAGGGGGCCTTGCCCGGTGTGGTGGCGGTGGCCGAGGACAGCCTGGGTGAGGTCCGGGTCTCCACCGGAGTCACCGTGGGAGTGGGGGCCGCCGATGAAGGGCCCTGGGTGGTTCCCGGCAAGGGGCTGGTGGTCAGAGGACCGGGGGGCGACGGTGATTCCCAGGTGCTGGGCCCTGGGCTGGAGGTGGCCCGGGTTGTGCTGGCTGAGGTGCCGGGGCCTGGGGTCTGTTGGGTGGGCCCTGGGACCCGGGTGGTGCCCCGGGAGGATCCGCTTAGGGTGGTGGCCGTTGTGGAGGGCAGCCCGGAGGTGCCGGTGCTCCCGGGAGGCGAGGAAGGGGCCGTGCTGGTGGCCGGAGTTGAGGGGCAGTGACGGTAGTCGTCACAGCAGAGCAGGCGGACCTCGTAGTTGAGGCACAGCGGGAACTTGCCGCTCTGGTCGCGGTTGCGGCACACCAGGCCCTCCGCCAGGCTGCACAGCACCACCTGGCCCAGCTGCTGCAGGGGCACCTGGGGCTCGGACTGGGCCCGGCACTCCAGGCCCGCGGGCCGCGCACACGGAAGCCTGCCGGCCGCCCGGAGGTTGTCGAAGGTCTCAAAGTCGCCGCCCGAGGGCCCCGGCATGGGGTAGCTCTGGTCCAGCCAGTCTGTCCAGACACAGCGCGGCACACACTCAGGGGCCTTGCCCGGTGTGGTGGCGGTGGCCGAGGACAGCCTGGGTGAGGTCCGGGTCTCCACCGGAGTCACCGTGGGAGTGGGGGCCGCCGATGAAGGGCCCTGGGTGGTTCCCGGCAAGGGGCTGGTGGTCAGAGGACCGGGGGCGACGGTGATTCCCAGGTGCTGGGCCCTGGGCTGGAGGTGGCCCGGGTTGTGCTGGCTGAGGTGCCGGGGCCTCGGGTCTGTTGGGTGGGCCCTGGGACCCGGGTGGTGCCCCGGGAGGATCCGCTTAGGGTGGTGGCCGTTGTGGAGGGCAGCCCGGAGGTGCCGGTGCTCCCCGCAGGCGAGGAAGGGGCCGTGCTGGTGGCCGGAGTTGAGGGGCAGTGACGGTAGTCGTCACAGCAGAGCAGGCGGACCTCGTAGTTGAGGCACAGCGGGAACCTGCCGCTCTGGTCGCGGTTGCGGCACACCAGGCCCTCCGCCAGGCTGCACAGCACCACCTGGCCCAGCTGCTGCAGGGGCACCTGGGGCTCGGACTGGGCCCGGCACTCCAGGCCCGCGGGCCGCGCACACGGAAGCCTGCCGGCCGCCCGGAGGTTGTCGAAGGTCTCAAAGTCGCCGCCCGAGGGCCCCGGCATGGGGTAGCTCTGGTCCAGCCAGTCTGTCCAGACACAGCGCGGCACACACTCAGGGGCCTTGCCCGGTGTGGTGGCGGTGGCCGAGGACAGCCTGGGTGAGGTCCGGGTCTCCACCGGAGTCACCGTGGGAGTGGGGGCCGCCGATGAAGGGCCCTGGGTGGTTCCCGGCAAGGGGCTGGTGGTCAGAGGACCGGGGGGCGACGGTGATTCCCAGGTGCTGGGCCCTGGGCTGGAGGTGGCCCGGGTTGTGCTGGCTGAGGTGCCGGGGCCTGGGGTCTGGCGGGTGCCCTCTGAGCCCCGGGTGGTGCCCCGGGAGGATCCGCGTAGGGTGGTGGCCGTTGTGGAGGGCAGCCCGGAGGTGCCGGTGTTCCCGGGAGGCGAGGAAGGGGCCGTGCTGGTGGCCGGAGTTGAGGGGCAGTGACGGTAGTCGTCACAGCAGAGCAGGCGGACCTCGTAGTTGAGGCACAGCGGGAACTTGCCGCTCTGGTCGCGGTTGCGGCACACCAGGCCCTCCGCCAGGCTGCACAGCACCACCTGGCCCAGCTGCTGCAGGGGCACCTGGGGCTCGGACTGGGCCCGGCACTCCAGGCCCGCGGGCCGCGCACACGGAAGCCTGCCGGCCGCCCGGAGGTTGTCGAAGGTCTCAAAGTCGCCGCCCGAGGGCCCCGGCATGGGGTAGCTCTGGTCCAGCCAGTCTGTCCAGACACAGCGCGGCACACACTCAGGGGCCTTGCCCGGTGTGGTGGCGGTGGCCGAGGACAGCCTGGGTGAGGTCCGGGTCTCCACCGGAGTCACCGTGGGAGTGGGGGCCGCCGATGAAGGGCCCTGGGTGGTTCCCGGCAAGGGGCTGGTGGTCAGAGGACCGGGGGGCGACGGTGATTCCCAGGTGCTGGGCCCTGGGCTGGAGGTGGCCCGGGTTGTGCTGGCTGAGGTGCCGGGGCCTCGGGTCTGTTGGGTGGGCCCTGGGACCCGGGTGGTGCCCCGGGAGGATCCGCTTAGGGTGGTGGCCGTTGTGGAGGGCAGCCCGGAGGTGCCGGTGCTCCCGGGAGGCGAGGAAGGGGCCGTGCTGGTGGCCGGAGTTGAGGGGCAGTGACGGTAGTGCGTCACAGCAGAGCAGGCGGACCTCGTAGTTGAGGCACAGCGTGAACCTGCCGCTCTGGTCGCGATTGCGGCACACCAGGCCCTCCGCCAGGCTGCACAGCACCACCTGGCCCAGCTGCTGCAGGGGCACCTCGGGGCTCGGACTGGGCCCGGCACTCCAGGCCCGCGGGCCGCGCACATCGGAAGCCTGCCGGCCGCTCGGATGTTGTCGAAGGTCTCAAAGTCGCCGCCCGAGGGCCCCGGCATGGGGTAGCTCTGGTCCAGCCAGTCTGTCCAGACACAGCGCGGCACACACTCAGGGGCCTTGCCCGGTGTGGTGGCGGTGGCCGAGGACAGCCTGGGTGAGGTCCGGGTCTCCACCGGAGTCACCGTGGGAGTGGGGGCCGCCGATGAAGGGCCCTGGGTGGTTCCCGGCAAGGGGCTGGTGGTCAGAGGACCGGGGGGCGACGGTGATTCCCAGGTGCTGGGCCCTGGGCTGGAGGTGGCCCGGGTTGTGCTGGCTGAGGTGCCGGGGCCTCGGGTCTGTTGGGTGGGCCCTGGGACCCGGGTGGTGCCCTTGGATACCCCAGTCACAGAGGTTGAGGTGGTCAAGAGGGGGCTGGTTCTCTGGGTGCTGTAGACCAGGGTGGTACCAAAGATGGCACTGCTGGTGAGGACCCTGGGGGTGGCTGTGTGCAGCGGGGCTGTTTCTGGGGCACTTGATGGGGCCTGCTCTGTGGTGGCGGGCGTCTGGGAGGGGGTGGGTGAGTTTTGGGTGGATGAGAGGCCCTGAGACGTCAGTGTCCCAGCAGTGGGGCAGTGAAGTGCCTCCTGGCAGCAGAGCAGGCGGACATTGTAATTGAAGCACATGTTAAACTGACCCTTCTGGTCCTGATTCCTGCACACCAGGCCGGCCTGCAGGCTGCAGCTGACCACCTGGCCGATCTGGTCCAGGCTGACCTCCGGGTAGTTCTCTGCCCGGCACTCAATCTTTCGCGGCTTTGGGCACATCTTGCCACCTGCGGCTCTGATGTTGTCGTAGGTCTCCATGTCCCCGCCTGCAACCCCAGAAGTGGGGAAGTCCACGTCAAACCATTCTGTCCACTCGCACTTGGGTTCACAGCCGGGCACGGGACGACTGGTGGTGGCCTCTGCGGTGGTCGTGGGCACCTGGGTCCCTGTGCTGGGTGTGCTGGTCCCAGTGTGTGATGGAGACAGCGGGCGGGTGGAGACCGTGCCAGAAGAGCCCCCTGGTGTTCTCGTTTTGGGGTGAGCTGTGTGTGTATGCGTGGTCTCTGGCTCCTTGGTGCTTCCCTGTGAGGGGCCCCCGCTGGTCCACAGCACGGGTGTGTACTTTGTGGAGGCTGGAGGAGGCGTGGGGCTCCTCGAGGCCGCGGTGCCGGTGGTGGCAGCGGTGCTGGTGGTGACAGGCCCGTGCCCCTCACAGTGGCTGTAGGTGCAGCACAGCAGGCGGATTCTGTAGTTGTAACACATCTTGAACAGGCCCTGCTGCTCCGAGTTCCTGCAGACCAGGCCGAAGCCGGGGTCGCAGTGCACTCGCTGCCCCAGCTCCTCCGGGCGCCTGTCGGGGAAACCCTCGGCCCGGCACTCTATGTCCAGAGGCCGCGCGCACACGGCACCACCCGCACTCCTGATCCTGTCGAAGGACTCGACGTCCCCGCCGGCCTCCTCGGACTGCGGGTAATCCTCGTCGAACCACTGCGTCCACTGACACCGGGGCTGGCAGGTGGTGCTTGGAGCCTGGGAGCTGCTGGCCCCCCGGGTCTCTGTGGCCCAGGGTGTTGATGTCTGGACGGCGGAGGTGGACGAGGGCCTGGGGGCCGGGCCTGGGGAGGTGCTGCAGGGCACGTAGTCACAGCAGAGCACCCGCAGTTCGTAGTTGTGGCAGAGTGGGGGGCTCTGCTCGCTGTTGAGGCACGTGAGCCCCCGCGCTGGGTCGCACTCCACCTTCTGGCCCAGCTGCTCCAGGGGCGTGTTGGGCAGCAGCTGCGCCCTGCACTCAATGCGACTGGGGTCTGGGCAGATGTGGTGGCCCCTCTGCCTCAGGTTCGCAAATGTCTCGAAGTCTCCACCTCCCATGCCAGGCTCTGGACGGCTGCCATCATACCAGGCTGACCAGTGGCACAGCTCATGCACGCACACGGTGGAGAGGGTGGGGACCGAGCCTGTGGGGGTGAGGGCAGGAGACCTCGTTACCCTCCTCCGCGTTCTCGTCAGCATGCCCCGGAGGTAGGGTGACCCATGTCGCCTTGCCCCAGGGTGGACCCGAGGGTCCCTGCAGAATCTCGGTCCGTCCCTGGCCCCGGGACTTCTGCACTGAGCAACTGTCGGGTCTCTTTCCCTCTCCCAGACAGTGGCTTCCCCAAGGTCACCTTACCTGTTGTGGAGGGTGGAGCCGCAGTGGAGGTGAAGGTGAAGGGTGTGGTGGAGGGTGTTCCCGGACATTCCGTGGTCTTCCGGGTGATTGTGCCGTTGGTTCCGCAGACAGCAGTCAGGCAGGCACCCAGCCCGTCGGTCGTGTTGTAGATGACGTCCCCGTAGCTGTAGGTCTTACCCTCGTAGGTGCACTTACAGGCTGGGAGTCAAGGTAGATACGGTGCTCAGAGGAGCCCCAGCCCCCAGCGTCCTAACCAACCAAGCCCATCCTTACCCGCGAGGCTGTGTGTGCACCGGATGCCGTCTGGGGTGCAGTTACTGGGAGGAGAGAAAGAAGCTGAGGCCCTAACCGGCCCCGCCCCGCCCCCATCCCTCCAGGCCCCGCCCCACCACGCCCCTCACTAGCTCCGGTCCTGCCCCACCCCTCTTCACCCCTCACCAACTCTGGCCCCTCCCCGCCCTCGGCCCAGCCTTCTCAGCAGTTCCGGCGCCGCCCAGCTCCCTGGGCCCCGCCCAGCTCTCTGGGCCCCGCCCAGCTCTCTGGGCCCCGCCCAGCTCTCTGGGCCCCGCCCAGCTCTCTGGGCCCCGCCCGAGTCGCCTCCTCACCAGCTCTGGCAGTTCTCCTCCGTGGGGACCCTGGTACCAACTTCGTGGTAGTTCTCGTCGTCATCGTAACAGCCACACTGGGCCACACACCTCATCTGATCCTCGCTGAAGAACGGCTTGTTGGGCGGACACTTAGGGTAGCAGCCTGGGGCAGGCACGGGGCGGGAGAAGACTCACCCTCCGGGCCAGGGGTCCGCGCCGCCAGGCCCCCCGGGGGCGCCCTGTGCTGGGAGCAGCAGGCCGCGAGCCCCGCGGCGCCCACCCTGCCCCCCGACGCCTGCGCAGTGTCCCGGGATGAGGAGGCGGGGCTCCCCAGGACGCCTGCCCCTCACCTTCCTGGCCGGGCAGGTCCATCAGGCAGCGCCCACTGGGGTTCCGGCAGGTCCGCAGGCAGGGGACCCCGCAGGGCTGGTAGTGCCACTCGCACTCACCGCGGGGGTTGTAGTAGTCGCAGAACAGGGCTGCGCGTGGGGGACAGAGGCCGAGGCCGGCAGAGGCTAAGGCTCCAGGGCCACGCCGCCAGCCCGCCTGTCCTGGGAGGCAGCCTTTCCCCGGAGCCGTCCCACTTGGGGGTGACCTGGGTGCCCGGTCTTCACGGCCTGAGCCCGGTGAGCCTGCCTCCTCCCGCCGCCGCGCACCCGCCCTTCACACCGCGACGGAGCCCGACTCACGGCAGACGTCGGGGGTGCGCCAGGCCACGCACACGCCCACCTCGCGGCAGGCCTGGGCGTAGGCGGCCACCGCCGTGCAGAAACACTCGCAGTCGCCGCCCGAGTCGCAGGCGCACGCGTCGCTCACGCAGGCTTCGTAGTACTTGGTGGGGTCGACCTGCGGTCCGAGGGCAGGTGGGCACTTAGTGGTGGGAAGAACCAACCAACACACACCGGCTGGGGGGGTGGGCAGCAGCCCACCGCTGAGACCTGTGACTGGGGCGGGAGGCAGCAGGGAGGCTCCGCCCACCAGGCGCCTCCCCTGGTCCCCTCTGATATTTGTTGCCCTGCTCAGCATCTCCCTGGGGTGCTGTCCTGACGAATGGGAGACTGCTGTCTCTTTGGGGTGAGGGAGCCACCCCCCAACCACACTCTTCCCTCCCAGATGGCAGAGCCCAGGGAACCCCAGTCAGGTGGGGTCGGGGGGCAGGCTCCAAGGACTTTCTGAGTCAGAGGGCGGGTGTGGGGGCATCAGCACAGCAGGCCCGCTTGTCCTTGTGTGGGTCCCGGGTCAGGAAACAGCCGGTGAGTGGGCAAACAGCCGGTGTCCTTGTCACAGGAAGGCCCCCTGGGCAGGCTCTGAGGCTGATCCCCGCCCTTCGCACCACGTGCGTTGGCAGGTCAGAGAATGTGGGGGGCCAGGGCAGAGCAGGGGTCACCCCAGGGCTGTAGGACCAGCAGCCCTGTTTCCGCTTCCAGGGGCGGAGGGACAGGGAGGCCGCTCTGTGCTGGAAGTGGGCACCCCAGCGCCTGCCCGGTGGGAGGTCCAGACGGTGTGCCCTGCTCATGCTGGATGGTCAGTGGGGAGAAAACCGTCTGTCCACTGAGGCCCAGCCCGGCCACATTCAGCTTCCTCCCGGAGGGAAGGGGGCCACCCCACGCACCATCCCTCAGCCCCTGGCCCCCACGCCCAGAGCCACTGCCCACCCCACACCTGAGAGTGGCAGGTCTCGAATGTGGCGCTGTTGAGGAGGCTGCACTGCTTCTGCGCCCAGGACTTGCGGTAGGGGTTGGCGGTGCAGGGGTCCCTGGGGGCCGGGGCGTCCGGGCAGGACGGGGAGAACTTCCAGCTGTTGCCGAACTCCAGAGCGTCCCCCACCACGGACTGGCTCCGAGTGGTGAAGTCATTGAGGGCGTTGTCGTCGAAGTTCCCGCACAGCCCGCAGACCCTCCCCTGTGGATACGGAGACAGGGGGCCCGTGGGGCTGGGGCTGCAGGGAGCAGCCTGGCTGGGGAGGGGTGAGTGTGGGGCACTCAGTCCACTCAGGCGGCACCCAGTGACCTTGCAAGAGGACAGGTGCACAGGTAGATAGGAAGACAGGCAGGAAGCCAGGCAAGCAGGCAGGCTGGTAGACAGGTAGTCAGATGGGTGAGTGAACAGGCGGGCAGGTGGGTATGTGGACAGAGCAGGCAGAGGGGCAGGTGGACAGGTGAGCAGGTGGGCAGGCACGCGCTTCTCCCCCGCACCTCAGCCTGGTGGGTGTGGGACCGCTGAGCGGGGAGTCCTGGGAGCGGAGCGGCCGTCCGACAGGACGGTGACTCCCATGCTGGTCCGTCTGGTCTCCACACCCATTTCCAGAGCCCTGGCCCTCAGCAGAGGGTCCTGGAGGCCAGGCCTGTGAGGGGCTCTGTCTCTGCCCGAGGGTCCCGCAGCCTGCCTGCCCTCACCTTGTAATCCTGGTGCAGCCGGATGAACACGCTGGTCTTCCGGTCCCAGGACACGACCAGGCCTCTGCGGGTCTCGATGGCCAGATGGGTGCCCATGTATCGGATCCTGTAGGGCAGGTCTCCGCCCAGCCCCCTCTGCACCACCTTGTAGGTGCCTTCATGGAGTATCACCTCATAGTTCTGTGGAGGGGCACAAGGGGGCTGAGGGGCCAGGGCCCACCCCATGGCCCAGGGCAGGGCCCACGGGTGGGCAGGGGCCCGAGGCACCAGGCTCTGACTCGCCAGTGACCTTCTGGCGAGAAGCTGGGCAGGGTGTGCGGGGCGGACGGTGGGAGGCCTTGGGCCCAGCCGAGGCCCTGCCCCTCTGACCAGCGCTCCGCCCCCCCCCACTCGCCTCATGCCCACTCGGGCTGCCTCCCTGCCCTTCTTCCCGCTGCCCCTTCAGGAAGCAGCCCCCAGTCCTCAGCTCTGCTCCCCGCCCTGTGAGTGCCGGCCTCCCTCCACGGGAAGGGGGTGGCCTGGCTGTGGTGGGCGGAATGGAGGCCCCCAGAACACAGTCCCTGTTCTAACCCTGGAAACGGCGCCAGGCCTGGTCTAGAGCACTTTGCAGACGTGACTGGGTCTGCAGATAACCTGGGTTTGGGGGCACCTGGGCCCAGTGGCGGGAGTCCCTGTCAGAGAGGAGTGGGACACGGCCCGAGGCCAGGAATGACGCCTGGAGCCCCAGGAGCCCGGAGCCAGCACAGCAGTGCCACACCTGGATGTCAGAGTCCTGGCCTCGGAACTATGAGGGAGTCAATCTCCCCGGTCTCAGTGGCTGTGGCCACTTGTTACAGCCACCCCAGGTCACAACGCAGCGGAAGGGCCAGGGGCCCCAGGGCTGGGGACCCCGACAGGGTGAGCCAGTCAGCTGCTGAGAGAAGGAGAAGGTTCGTCGTCACCCTCTCACCTCCAGGAAGAGCTTGATGGCCTTGGAGCAGGTGACACCCGTGCTCCCACAGGGAACGTTCTCGGTGACAATGCGGAAGGTGCCGTTGGTGCTGCCGTTGCCGCCGCAGTGGTCCTGGGACGGGGAGAGACGCCACCCTGGTCAGGCCCAGAGCCCGGTGGCCCTGCAGGGGGGAGCGAGGGGGGAGTGAGGGCGGACCGCGCACCTGGGCCAGCGTGTACTCGCAGCTGCCCTCGAAGCTGTACCGCTCGCCGTCGAAGGTGATGAAGTGGCTGTCCCCATAGGCCACACAGGTGCCCAGGCAGGGCCTGTGGCTGCAGTCCCATCGGCGGTTCCGGCAGGTGCTGCAAGGGGCAGAGAGGGAGGCCCTGCTCACTGGGCTGCAGCAGGAGCAGTGACGGGGACCCGGCTGCCGCGCATGGTGAGAAGTCAGAGGAAGCCTCTTCGGCAGCTCTCGGCACTGGCCGCCCTGCCACTCGCTGGGCCCCTGGGGCACCTTCCAGAGGACAAATCGGACCGAGCGGGGCTTTCCCAGTGTGGGGGCGGTGCCAGGCCTGAGCCTCTCTCTGCCCCCTGCTGAGGACCACCGGGCCACTGTCCCTGAGGCCTCTCCGCTGCCACTCTCTGCCCACCACCCGCAGCCCCCCCTCTGAGAGGCCCCGGACCCACCAGGTGTTACAGTCCACCCTGATGGTGTCCCCGGGCCGGTAGGAGGCCTCGTTGTGCAGACAGGGGCAGTCCTCCTTGGCCACGCAGCCCCCGGTGCCATCGGACAGCAGCCCCGGGGGGCAGACGCAGCCGGACACGCAGTGTGCACTGAACTGTGGGCAGAAGGGAAGGGAGCTGGTCGGCGATGCCCCACCCCCGCTGCAGCCCTGGGGTGCACAGCCTCAGGGCAGTGACGTGGCCGCCCCCCCAGCTGACTCACGCAGTCCACGTCCAGCATGTGGCAGCTCCGGAGGCACTCGGCCCCGAGTGCGCCAGCCGAGGCGTTGCTGCAGTTCAGGTACACCATGGGGGCCACGCAGCCTGTGCAGGGACAGCTCGCTGGGTTTCGTCTCGCAGCTGGGACCCCGCCCCAGACCGCCGGAGGCTCCTCCCGCTCCCCCTTGAGTAGGGCCCCTGGCTGGCAACTGGCACGGGGGGCAGGGGGCAGTACCCGTTCTGGTCTGCTCCGCGGTGCCCAGGCAGCTCAGCTTCCCCCGGGTGCACGAGCTGTGAGAGAGATGGTGACCAACCTGGGCTGCTGCCCACTGGCCAGCTGACCCCGGCCAGGAGGGTGCAGGGCGGGGGCCTGGTCCCCAGGAGAGGGTGTTGCCTACTGGTGGGGTTGTGGCAGAGGCCCCAAACTTCGCAAAGAGGCTCTCGAGGATGTGAGCAAAGAGGCAGGAGACAGCCCGCCTCGGGATGTGGAGGACCTGGCCCGGGCCGGTGAAGGTGCCCAGTTGGGGAGGGTGCTGCACCCATCCAGCCCCCTCCGTGGGCTCTGGGCCCGGGGAGGGGCCCTTCTTTACCGAAGGGCTGGGTGGTGGGCAGGAAGTTCCCTCCCCTGGGGGCTCTATCCCCTAAGTGTGGGGCAGGCAGGCGAGGACCCCCTGCCGTCCCGGTGGGGGCGGGACGCCGGGAGGGAGGGAGTGCTCAGGGAGCTGGGCCGCGCCCTTACCACACCACGCCGTGGTCGTGCACCACTTCCCCGGGGGCTACCATGGAGCCGTGGAAGTAGCAGGGACAGGCCTCGGCAGACACACAGCTGCCCGTGTCGTCCAGGAAGGTGCCTTGGGGGCAGGCGCAGCCGTCCATGGGCACAAAGGTGACACCACAGGTGACATCAGTCTCGCTCAGGGCCCGGCAGGTGGGCTGGCAGCTGCTCACCACGTAGGAGTAGTTCTGGGACTTGGGGCAGGAGCTCATGTACTTGGCTGGGGGCGGGGCAACACTCAGGTCAGTGGCTGGGCTGGGGTGTAAGTGGCCCGGGACTCAGTTTCCCCCCTGGAAGTGGGGTGCTACGGGCACCAAGGGAAAGGAAGTGCCAAGATCCTGCTGAGGACCCTGGGTGGGGGTGGCTGGGGTCCCCAGCACCCCACCCAGCCTGGGAAGCTGGTGCCCCGCACACTCACCGCAGACGCCGGCCCTCCAGCCGCGGAGCAGCACGCCACGGGCGGCGCAGGCGCGGACGTAGGAAGACAGGGCGGCGCACAGGCAGTCCTCGCTGTTCTCACAGTTGCAGGTGTCGAACAGGCAGTGCTGTGGGTGGGGGGAGGGAGGGGGGAACGGGGCGTCCGGAGTCAGGGCCCCGCCCACCGGCGCCCCGCCCGCCAGGGCCCCACCCCCACCCCATGGGGGAGGGACACCCTGCCAGCCCCAAGCTCCGCCCCCAAGAAGGACCCACGGCACAGACTAAAGAAGCTGGGGACCTCCTGCCAGTCAGGGACCCGACAGGCCATGGAGGGGGGATCAGGAAAAAGGCGTGCTGCTGGGCTGAGCGGGGGTCTGCAGGAGGGGTCTCTGCAGGACCGGGACAAGGTCCAGTGAGAACCCCTGGCGTGGCTCTGGCTGTTTCTCCTGGGGGTCCTGGATGGGGTGGGAGAGTGTGGCAGGGTGGGGCCCCCCCACTCCAGAGGCAGGCCCGTCCTCCTTGTGTGCATGCCCCCCGGGGGGCGGAGTCCTGTGGGTTTCAGAGCTTTGAGCTTCCTGAAAGCTGTTGGGGAGCCAGTGGTTGGGGGCTGGACTGTGTCCCCCTGAAAGGTAGCCCCTAGGGCCTGTAACGGTGGCCTGGCCTGGCAGTGGGACTAAGCAAAGAGGAGGTCTCTAGCGCGGGCCCTGGCCCGACACGACCGGCACCCCCGTGAGGAGACTTGCACACAGACCCAGGGGACAGAGGGTCCCCAGGCGACGCACAGATGCCAAGGCTGGGGTAAGGTGTCCACAAGCCCGGGAAGCCCAGGCCTGGGGCCCAAGAAGCTGGGAGGGGCAGGAAAGACCCCCCCGGACCCCTCCACAGGAGCTGGCCCTTGACAGAAGAACCCAGAAGGGAGGCTCAGGTGGGGGGGGGGGCAGCTGCAGGCCTGCTGGGCCCAGGCCCAGCGGGGTCGGGGTCTCACTGAGTGGAAAGGCCCGGGGCTGACGACGGAGTGGCAGGGCGAGAAGGGGCCGGCGGGGTCGGTCAGCAGGGAGCACCAGTGCTGGGCGTATTTCTCTGTGAGAAGGGACACAGGGGACTGTCACCGGGCACGGCTCGCTGCCGCGGCCCCAGCACCTGGGCCCCAGCTTCTGCCCCACCCCACGCAGGCCCTGCCTTGGCCGTGGGGCTCACCTACCACTGCATGGGCAGCCGGAGACTCTGTCCAGAGACACGTCCCAGCACCCCAGCCTGCTCACCCGAGTCCCCGCCGCCTGCAGGCAGATATCAGGGTTCCCCCACCCCGCCAGCAGTGCCCTGTGCAGACGGGCCCCAGGGGCAGGGTACCATTCTCCACGCTGAGGGCGCAGGGGTCCTCAAAGCTGTTCCTGACGTTGGGGCAGGCGGCCTGCGTCTTCCAGGTGTTGGCGAAGGCGGCGGCCGTGCCCTCCACCACGCCGCTGAGGGTCCGGAAGTCGTCCGCCTGGTTCTGGTTGAAGTTCCCGCAGAGACCTGGGGGTCGGAGGGCCACCAGTCGGCAGGCCTCCCAGCCCAGCCAGCCACCGCTCCCCTCCCAGTGGGCTCTCCCACCCGATGATTGCAGCTGCAGCTCCGGTGGGGGTCTGTGCCTGTGTGAAGCCCCCTGAGTGAAGGCGGCCTGGCTTGCTCTCTATCCCCCCGCCCCACGCCCCGCCACGGGTCAGACCGAGCGGTCATCCGGTGCCCATTCAGCCCCCGCCTCCCCAGTCCCCACCTCCTGCCACCCTCTGCCCTCCCTGCTTGCAGCCCCCACTGCCCCAGCCCCTCCGGGCCCCGCCCAGCCTCACCGCACATCTGGCCTTGGTGGGCAGGGTCCAGCCTGAGGAACACCTGCATAAGGGGCACCAGCTGCACCTCCAGCTGCAGCCCGAGGCCAGTGTGCACCAGGATGAAGAAGGTCGAGGGCTTGAAGACCACGATGTTTGCTGCAGGGAGAGGGGCACAGTCCGAGGCCAGGCCCAGCCAAACTGACCACCAGCACCTGAGGCTTCGCACTCCTGGGACAGCCCGGGAGGCTGGACAGGCTGGGACAGGCGTCCTGTCCTCCGGGAGCTGGGCAGGAGCTCCCATGCTGGCACGAGTCATGACCGAAGACCCCTGACACGCCGCCCCACCCCGGCAAACCAGCCCCGGGATGTTCCGGAACTGCCTCAGGCCACAGAGAGCCAGTAGGGGGCCCAGCGGGCCCCGTACAGGCTCCCCCTGGACATGGCCCCGCCGTCCCCAGGGCCCCGCTGTCCCCGGGGGCCCGCACCTGCTGACAGGGGCAGCTGGGTGTAGATGGAATTCATGAAGACCCCGCCGTTGGCCTGGATCCGGATGGTCTGGGAAGGGAGGTGGGGCCACGGTCAGCGTGGGCAGCGGCCTTGGGGTTTGGGGAGGGAGTTGGAGGCTGTTCCCCTCGCACCCGGCCCCACTGCTCTCGCAGGCGTGGGGGCGGGACCCTCACCGTGTTCCCGCCGTTCAGGCTCAGTGTCACAGTTTTGAGGCAGTTCTCGTTGTCCGTCAGGCCGCACTTCCGTAGCTCGGCCAGCACGGCGAAGTCGCTGTCCCCACATTTCTAGGGCCGACCGGGTCGGGGGGCTGAGTGTGCGCCTGTGGGTGGTGCCCCCCACAGGCCACGGGCTCTCGGGGTCTCTGCACCTGCTGTCGCCCCCAGGAGCTTATCTTGGGGTCTGGGAGCCCCTCAGTGCCCTGTGAGTATGAGCCTGGGGGCATCCCTTTTGGGATGAGACCCAGGAGGGGGCTGTGGGGGCTTCGCCCCCTCCCACGGCCACCAGGGACCCTTCCTGGGACGGGGGAGCTGAGGGTCTGGCCGCACCTTCGACAGGACGTAGCCGCAGTCCCCGTGCAGGTCGTAGAGCCTCTCGTCATAGGTGGAGATGTGGGAGCCGCCCTCGACAGAGCAGGTGCCGGGGCACGGGAGGTCCTGGCACCACCACAGCCCCCCGGAGCAGGTGCTGGGGGCCACAAGCAGAGAGCCAGTGAGGCGTGAGGGGCAGGCGGGCCCACCCCACGCACCACACCCCAGCTGGGACGGGGCGGGGACGGGGGTTCCTACCAGGAGCTGCAGCTGGTGGTGAAGGAGGCCCCCGGGGTGTAGGTACGGCCGCCGTGGCTGCAGGGGCACTGGTCCAGGGTCAGGCAGCCGGTGTTCGTGACGTCATCCAGCACCGTGCCTGGGGGTGGGTGAGCAGGTCAGGCTGGTGTGGGGGATGGGGGCCAAGTGTCCGGGCGGGGCTGCCCCTGAGGGCCGGGGCACCTGCCTGGGGGGCAGAAGCAGCCGTCTATGCAGTGGTCCTCACACAGCTGGGAGCGCTGGGGGTTGGAGCAGGTGTCCACACAGGGCGAGCCGCACTCCTGGTGCTGCATGTTGAGAGGGCATGTCCGGGCTGTGTGGGGGGGGGGGGGTCGGAGGGGGGCATGTCAGGTGGCCGGGTGCACAGAAGGGCCACCTGCACTCCCACCTTCCAGCGAGGGTGCCCTAGAGCCACTGCCGGGTCTCAGCAGCCACGGCTCTGCTTGTCTAGTCTCCTGGGTTCCCGTGAGCTTAGCTGGCCGTGCCCCAGTCAGGCCCTCCCTGGGGTGTCCCTGCCCCCTCCGCCTGGCGCACTCCCCTCAGCTCTCCGCCCGCCCTTGCTCTGTGGCCCCCAAGGGGCTTCGCCTGTCCTGTGTCCACAGATGCCAGGTGTGCCCCCTGCATCACCCCCTCCTCAGGGTGGGCGCAGGGCCCAGGCTGCCCAGAGGTGGCCCCTAGCCCAGGCCCCGTGCTGGCACTCACGGCAGAGGTCCGGGCCCCTCCAGCTCTGCGGCCGGCCCCCGGCGTGGGCGCACTGGCGGGAGTACTCGGCGAAGGTGGCGCACGGGCAGCTGGGGCAGCGGCACAGGTCCTGGGCGCAGGCCACCACATAGGCCTCGGCGTCCACCAGCTGGTTGCAGGATTCGAAGCCTGGGCCCCACAGGGTGCGGCGGCAGACGCCGTCCTGAGGAGCACAGGGGCTGCGTGGGGTCCCCGCCCTGCAGCCTTCATCCCTTCTTCCCTTGTGGCTCCTCCCACCTAGTCTGCCATCTGCCTGTCCCCCCCCCCCGTCCCCCCCCCCCCCCCGCCCTGCTCAGTCGCTGAATGTGTGGACCTTGGGGCAGAGCCCTACTGGGCTCTGGAGAGATTCCCGCTCGCTGTCCCATCTCCACCTGGTGCTGCAGGACACACGTGAGGCTCCCCAGAAAGGTGCAGTGCCTGGCCCCCCACGAGCAGAACACCCTCCTTCCCCAGCCACACCCCGACCGGCAATGTCCCGATTAAACGCTCAGAGTTTCAGCTGGTTCTGAGGGTGCCCGAGCTCCCACGCCTCTGCCGAAGCTGCAGCTCTCCCAGCTCAGCGGAAGGGCTCCCGGTGCGCCCTGCGCTCGGCAGCACGGTGGGGGCGTGTCTGCACACGCACATGCTCACGGAGATGGGGATGCTCACCCACTCAGATGTGCGCGGGCCTGGGTGGCACGGAGGGTGCCCCCAGTCCACGAGACCCTCCCCCACCTGCCCCCCCCCCCGTCCCTCCACCCCAGAAGCCTGAGACTGTCCCCTGGCCATCCCAGCGCCCCGGGAGGCAGGGGCTGCAGGGGGCCGGGCCCCGAGAGGCACCCACCTCCACAGTGCAGTTGTCGGCTGGGGAGGGTTGGGGGTCCTCACACTGCTCCGTGGGCCCATCCAGCTTCTGCAGGTTCCCGAACTGAAGCGGGGTCAGCCTGGCGTCTGCAGAGAGGGGGTGCTCCGTGGGTGGGGGCTCCCCTGGGGCGGCTGTTCGTGCCCAGGCCCCGCGGCGACCAGCCCCCAGCCCTGCCCCGGCGGTGCTCACTGTGGCTGTAGAACTCGCTGACGGCACGCAGCCCGTTGAAATCCCCACAGAGGCCGCAGGTCTGGTTGGCGTACTTTGGGTCCAGCTCCAGCTGCCGGGGAGGGAGGGGCAGCTCCAGCCTCTGCAGGCCTGCCAGGACCCCCGCCGATCCCCAGCCCACCTGCTGGGGCCCCTGCGGCCAGGGCGGGAGGGGCAGGGAGCCGGCCTCTCACCAGGGCACTGTCCTCTCCGTTCCACATGAAGGTCAGCACCAGCCTGACGGTGATCTTGATGTAGCTGCTGCTCTGCTCCACCAGGAGGCCAGCCCGGCTGTAGGGCAGCTCCTCCCTGCGGCGCAAAGATCCGGTCCCCGCTGGGCCCTGGCTCAGGGCCAGGTCCAGTGCCCCCTGTGGTTCTGACCCCTGCACCCACCCACGCCGGGCTCACCGCTGTCCGTCGATGAGGATGGAGCCGTTGGAGACCTCCAGCACCAGCCCCTGGGTCTTGAGGACGACACGGGTGATGACGGGCCTGGAGCCGGCCTGGCCGCGGCGGAGCTGCACGTTGAAGTCCTCGTAGGCGGCCCCGCAGTGCGCGGAGAAGACGTAGTTGCAGCGGCCGGGGAAGCGGAAGATGTCGCCGTCGAAGGTCTTGTAGTGGAAGTCGCCCCAGGTGCTGCAGACCCGCCCGTTGTGGGCCGGGTTCAGGGCTGCGGGGGGAGCGTGGTAGGGCCCCCGGGACACGGCTGCAGGCACCCAGCCCCCACAGGAGGGGCAATGCCACGGGGGAACGGGAAGCCCAGAGGGTGGCCACCCTGCAGCCGCGGCACCTGCCTCTGACCCTCCTGACCTGACACAGGGCCCAGCGCCCCAGCAGGCCCCGGGGAGCTGTCCCCAGGGGGTGCCCCCACCTGCACCTGAGGCCATCCAGCTGCCCAGCTGCCCCTCACTGTCCCAGTTTCACCCTAGATCGGCGACCCCCAGGGCTAGCAACCCCCCCACCCCATCGGCAGAGGTGTCCACTTACGGCTTATGGTGGGGAAGCCAGCGATGGTGACAGGTGGGAGGAAGACCATGGGCCGGGCTGCAGGGGGAGCGAGGGTCACAGCAGGAACTGTTGAGCTGTGTCGCCCTGCCTGGGGCCTCACCTCCTCACAGCCACCCGAGAGTGGTAGGAGCCTCTCGCCCACCCTGACCCAGCCCAGGGAGCCCAGGACTAATGGTGACCCCCCCTGGAGCCTCCTGTGCACCTGAGGCAGGCTCCCGCCCTGCACTTTTCTGTGTGTGCATGGCCCTGAGTGTGTACACACGTGTGTGCATGTGAGTGTGTGCATGCATGTGTGAGCATGTGGGTGGGTGTGAGTGTGTGTGAGCATTTGAGCATCTGCTTTGAATCTTCCATTTCCTTTTCTCGCTCAGCCCCCTCCACTGTCCCCTCCCCTGGGCAGATGGGGCCTGGGAAGCGTCGCCATGCGTCACGGAGCTGATGTGGGAAAGGGCCTGTCCCCGCCACCCCGGCCCTTCCACCGCTCAGGCCGAGTGCCAGTGTCCACCCTCTGACCGTTCTTGGTGGCCTCTGCGCTGGCCCAGCTCAGCTCCCCGCTGTCCTGCATCTCTGTGGGAAAAGGGGATGAGATCGGTGAGAAGTGGGCCTGTCCCCCCACCCCAGGCCTGCCTGGGGGCCCAGGGGCCGGTCTCCGAGGGCTGCAGGCTGGCAGCTGCGGGAGCGGGCTCTGGTCTCCAGGTCTCTCAGAGAGACAGACGCAAGGCCCCCCCAGGGTGGGAGTTTCTGGCAGGGACTGCACCTCTTCAGTGTCCTTGTGCTGACCCCCCCCCCCACTTGGCTGCGAATTCAGGTGGCGCCTCATCCCTCATCTCGCAGGTGACGGGGCAGGAGAGTGGAATCAGGAAGGGGCGTTGGCCCCGCTGACCCCAGCCCCCTCAGGGGGAGGGCGCAGCCCCATCCCACACCCCTGGGGAAGGACAAAGGCAGGCTTTGTTGGGGAGAAGGGCGCACGCAGCTGGGCAGGCTTCCAGGCGCGACTTAGCAAAACCCAAGACCGGGGCGAGGCCTGGAGCCCCAGAGCGGGGGTGGCTGGGATGGCCTGTGTCCACCACCTCCAGGCAGGGCCTCCCTGGCCAGCCTGACCTGGGCCGAGCCCCGGTGACCTCTTGCTGCCTCAGTGGACAGACCTGAGGCCCCAGATCCCTTGCTACCAGGCTGGGGGGGGAGCCTTTACATGGCCCAGGACCCTTTCCCCGAACCTGAGAGTAGTTTCTCACTCATCCCCAGCCTGTGCTTCGTGGGGGTGGGGACGGGACACGGTGGGGCCCCAGTGTCCCCGAGGCGGCCATCACAGCGCTGGCTGCTTCCTGCCCGGCTCTCCCGGCCAGACCTGGCACCCTCGGCACCGGCCCACGTCCCCCTGTCCTCACCTGGGAGTCCAGCTGCGCCCTCCACCCGTCAGTCCACCTGACCCCTGACCTGCCGCACCTCCTGCCTGTCCCTGGCCTCATCGAGAGAACCCGGTCACCTGGCACACCCTCCTCTGAGCTCCTTTCCAGGAGAATCAGCTCCACGCGGGGCCCTCCTGGGGCGGGCAGGCTGCCCAGGGAGCCTGGGGCTCCATCACTCACCAGAGAAACACCCTACCAACCCCCCGTCACTGCACATCCCCAGGCACGAAGGCCCTCCACTCAGGGCCCACCCGCACCCACCCCCTACGGAGGCTTCGGCCCACGGCGACCCCACCCACCACGGCGCCCTCTCCTTGCCTCAAGGGGTTTGCCCCAGAGAAAAAGGCAGTGAGTGGAGAGGAGGGTGGGGCTCGCTGCAGACCCCCCTCAGGTGCAGGGCCCAAGGTTGGCGGCCCCCAGGAGTCTGGAGGAGCCCTGCCGTGTGGGGCCACAGCTGTGCACACCGGCACCCCAGATGGAGCCACAGGCCAGACTTGCACTGCGGCCGGGAGGTGCTGTAGGAAAGGCCCCCTCGCCTCCAGCCTGGCTCACCCTGGGAAAGGGGGCCGAGAGCAGGGGTTCCGGGAGACGAGCGCTCCCCTTCACCACCCCCCTTTCACCCACCCAGACCCCCAGCTCAGGAGGAGGCACTGTGGGGACAGCCTGTGGGAGCTGGTGCAGCTGGGGACAGGTGGGGACAGGTGTCACCCAGACGGCCCCTGAGGCTGCATCTTTGTCGCTGACTGTAAATATTAGGGCTCCTGCCGCTCTGGAGAAGCTGGGGTCATGGGGCCTTGGGGTGGAGGGACGACAGACAGACAGACAGACAGAGGCAGCTGAGGAAGGCTGAGCAGCAGGTGTGGTGTGGGGGCGCTGCTGGGCCTCCTGCCCACCCGGTGGCAGCCCTGGGTCCAGGAGGGACCTCCGTTCCCTGGGGGCAGAATGCAGGTGCGACACCAGGCAGGGGCCGGTGCTGTGGCTGCCCCTGCCCACCCTGATGGGGGCCTCAGGGGCAGCAGGGAGACCCCCAGCCTCAGCCCGCTCACCAGCACTCACCCCGCCCGGTCCTGGAGGCCCAGACCCTCTTGGCACTTTCCCCGGGGTCCCCGGCATCTCCTGGACACTTGGGGTGCAGTCCTGCCCCTCCATTCTCAGCAGGAGAAGCCCCAGGTGAGCGACCCGCGGAGGCTGCCCAGGCTGTGACCACGGGTGAGGGTTACACCTTACCTGCCTTCTGCACCAGGAGCAGGGCCAGGAGGGCCCATGCCAGTGCCTGGCACCCGCCTGGGGGGCCCATCCTGGGGACCAGTGGGCAGGCGGTAAAGAGGGAGCAGGTCAAGGTGCTCGCTCCCTTGGGGGCCCCAGGGCTTATGTAGCGTCCGGGCTTGGCCCTGAGCCTGGCTCCTGGCCACGGGGGCACTGTCCTGTCCGCCTCGGCAGCCACGTGTGTTTGCTCTTGGGGAGGGGCCAAAGCAGGAAGGTGGTGTGGAGGAGAAAGGGTTTCGGCTCGGGCCCCGGAGCACAGGACCCCTGCCCCCCGCAGCTTCCGAGAATCGGAAGCAGGGAAAGGGGTGCCTGTCCACCCGAAGCCACACCAGGGCAGTGGTGCTGGCAGCCCCCGTGGCCGGCAGAGCTCCTGCAAAGCTACCCAGGCGGGTCCTGCCTGCCGCAGCCGGCCCCTCACTCAGTGGGGGAGGGTGGTCAGCACGCAGCTTCGCACGCAGCCTCACACTCAGCCCCATGTCCAGCCCCTCCTGTGAGCCTGGTGGAGGCCGAGGGGGTCTGAGGGGGTCTGAGGGAAGCAGGCCTCGGCCCACCACCTGTCCCAGGATGGGGAGGGGGCTTCGAGGCCGAGAGCTCACTGCTCGCTTGGCCAGGTGAGGGCCCTGGGCTCTGCGGCCCAGCTGGGGGTCTGGTCGGTCAGATGTGGAGGGCGGGGTTCCTGGTCAATGCCACTTCTGGGGGTCCTAGGAGGGAGCTCATGCCTAGGAACCCACATGCTGACCAGTGCCCTTTGTAGGTCTCTGGGCTCCTGTTTGTTCCCAAGCTCAAGTTCAAGGGGAAACAGGGCTTGGAGAGTAGACACGCTGGCCCTGCTGCTCGGAACTGGCAGGTAGGTACCGGTCCGGCGCCGGCCTGGTCAGGCAGCGCGGGGGCTCCAAGCCAGGGTCCCAGGTGACCCCACCACACTCTCAAGGTCGAGGTTCCTGGACCCGCCTGGGGTTCTGGGCCCACAGCAGGCCACGCATGGATCCGTGGGTGATGCCGATGCGCCCCTCGAGTCCCCAGCAGGTCTGATGGGGTCCCCTTGGAGGGCCAGGGGCATCTCTCCACCAGGACCTGCCCCAAGTCCGAGCTACAACAGCCGGGCTTCCCAGCTGGCCGGTCGGGTTTCGGGGTCATATGGTAACGAACACCCCAGCCTTCTCACTCTGGCAGTTATGACAGGGTTATCGCCCCACAGCCCGCAACACGCCTTGTCCCTCGGAAGGGACCAGGCGGGAAGCACAGGGTCCCTCCCTGGGCAGCCGGTGGGTGGTTTCTGGGCGGGTTTGTGTGATGGGCAGAAGGGGGCACCTGGTACCCCCAAGGCCAGAGTTGTTGCCGTGTAGTTGCTGGGCCTGCCCAGCTGGGCCCTCGGCTGGGGTGGGAGGCACTGGCATCCCCGTGAGACCTGGCGCCCACTCCCTGCAGCCCAGGGCCGGGGGGCGTGCTCTGGCCACAGCTGCCCCATCACTGCTGTCCTTCCCCAGGTGGAGGGTTCAGGGCTGGGGCCTGGGGTCTCCAAAGCTCTGTCACATCCAGCCCTGCTGTCCCCCCACAGGCAGAAGGGCACAAGAGGGGGGCCCTCTGGGGGAGGGCGGGGCAGTCCTCCAGGGACAGGCCTGGGGGCTGTGCCCAGGCCCCGGTAGACCCTGTCCTTCCCCTGCTGAATAGCCATCGCTCAGTGACGCCCAGTCCCTGGGGGTCAGCGTGGTGCACGCCGCCTGGACTGCTGGTGGCAAAGCCACTAGGCCCCCACGGGAGCTGTGGTCTATGAACCTGCGGAGGCCTGGGGAGGGGCTCGGTCAGCCTGCAGCCGGGCCCCCCACCTCCTTCCCTGTCTGGTCAGCTCCCACTCCCGGTCGTACCCCTGGGGACTGGCACACGCCTCTGCCTCTGCCTCCGCCAACGGCCAGCACCGGGGGACCCGCTGGCCCGATTCGGGCAGCCCCGTCTGGGTCCACGGGGGCACAGCACCTCTCTGCCTCCCCCACCGCAGCGGGCAGGTGGGCTCCATGCGGGTGGGGGCCCTCGGCTCACACCTCCACGAGCGCCTCATGGCGCAGATGGCAGAGACGTGCCGGCCTCAGAGTCCCGGCTATTGAGACATCCCGGATGCGCCCCGGCCCAGCCTGTTTGCTCAGCGAGTTTACCCCTTCACAGTTGAGGGAGCCCAGAACAGAGGCAGCAGGGCTGGCTGCAGGGGCAGATCTGCAGTTCCGCCAAGTGCCAGGAAGCGCCTGCCGCGGGCACGCCCTGCCCCTCCTTCAGTCCAGGCGCGGTCGGCACGGGGGGCCTCACTGGACCCCCGCAGAGCCCAGGGGTGACTGGACTGAAGACCCCCCACTGGCTCAGAGGCAGGCTTCCCAGCCCACCCTCAGCCCCGGTGGAAAAGGGCCTCTCCCGGGCCTCTCAGCCGCGCCCCCCCCACTCCCCCGTGCAGCGCGAACTCCAGGACAAGGGTCCCTGGGTGCCTCGAGCCTCCGGCATTTAACAAGTGCGGGCTGTGTGCCCAGCTGTCACTCGGGCACCATAGAGGGTCTGGAGGACCGGGCACAGCCCTGGGAGTCACAGGTGTGGCTGGCTGCTGGGCTGCTCGGAGCTGTGCTAGGGTGGGGCTTCCCACACCTGCTGCCCCCGTGGACGGGGGTGGCCCTGGGGGCCCGGCAGCCCTGGGCTCTGTGCCAAGGGCCACAGTCCCAGTGAGCTGAAGGGCCCAGTGGCGTGACCAGTGGGCTATGAGACAAACAAGCTCAGGGCTGGGTGGTCCCGGCAGGGAAATGCCCCAGCCCTGGGCCTTGGGGTGGCCCAGCCCAGCCCCTGCCCTGAACACACTCGGGGTGTTCCCAGCGAGAATCAGCACCAGCCTGGTCCAGAAGAGATGGATGGAGGACATGTGGGGCCGTCGTGGCCCCCCACAGCCTCCAACATTACCGAGCATCTCCCCCCTGTGCTGGGATGTGGGGTGCAGTGAGGGGGCTGTGGCAGCCCTGCTGGGCAGTGAGGCTGTGGGGGATGGGCAGGTCATGTTCCATCCTGGGGCTGCTCTGCTGTGAGATGGGTCCTGCCCAGGGCAGCAGACTTTCTCCCAAGAGGCCCTCCACCCCACGAGTGGACTGTGACCCCACCCCTAACATCTCTGATTGGCTGGTCTTCGCATAGATCCCTTCCCTGGCCCCTTTCCCCTCTGAGGGGAGTCGGGGACAAGAATTTGCCAAGAGGAGAAAGTGCAGAGAGCAGTTTTTATGGACTTTCCCAAAGGCGGAAAGGGTCGGGTGTGGAGGAATGCACCAGCCCTGGGGGTGGAGACTCGGAGCTCAGACTAGGCGGCAAGGTGTTCCCCTTGGCCTTGAGCGGGCTGCGGCTCAGCTGATGCTGCCTTGCGTGTAGGGTCCCTCTGGTGGCTTACTCCAAGGTCTTGCCTGCCCTGCTCCCTCCGGAGCCTGTGCACCCTCCAAGGGCTTCGTACTAGCTTTGTACTAGGTTTTGAAGTCAGCTACCTTGAGTCTTCCAACTTTACTCCTTTCTTTAAAATATATTTTATTGATTATGCTATTAGAGTTGTCCCATCCCCACCCCCGTTTATGCACCTCAGCCCTGCACCTTCCATCCCACCCACATCTCCCCCTTAGTTCGTGCCCCTGGGGCGTACATAGAAGTTCTTTGGCTTCTCCATTTCCCACACTATTCTTAACCTCCCCCTCTCTCCTCCCTCCCCTCCCCACTGGTAACCCTCCATGTGATCTCCATTTCTGTGCTTCTGTTCCTGTTCTAGTTGTTTGCTTAGTTTGTTTTTGTTATTTTAAGTTTGGTTATTGATAATTGTGAGTTTGTTGTCATTTTACGGTTCATAGTTTTCTTCTTCTTCTTTTCCTTAGATAAATCCCTCTAACATTTCATATAACAAGGGCTTGGTGATGATGAACTCCTTAAACTTGACCTCATCTGAGAAGCACTTTATCTGCCCTTCCATTCTAAATGAAAGCTTTGCTGAACAGAGCAATCTTGAATGTAGGTCCTTGCCTTTCATGACTTGGAATACTTCTTTCCATCCCCTTCTTGCCTTCAAGGTTGATTTTGAGAAATCAGCTGATAGTCTTATGGGAACTCCTCTGTAGGTAACTGCCTCCTTTTCTCTTGCTGATTTTAAGATTCTCTCCTTATCTTTAATCTTGGGTAATGTAATGATGATGGGCCTTGGTGTGTGCTTCCTTGGGTCCAAATTCTTAGGGACTGTCCGAGCTTTCTGGACTTCCTGGGAGTCTATTGCCTTTGCCAGATTGGGGAAGTTCTTCATTATTTTTTTCAAATAAGTTTTCAATTTGTTGCTCTTCCTCTTCTCCTTCTGGTACTCCTGTAATTCGGATGTTGGAACATTTAAAGTTGTCTATTGCTCTCCTCTTATTTTTTTTATTTTTTTATTGATTATGCTGTTACAGTTGTTCTCTTCCCCCCCTCACTCCCCTCCACCCTACCCCCCATCCCCACCATTACCTCCCCTTTAGTTTATGACCATGTGTCTCAAGTTCTTTAGATTCTATATTTCCCATGCTATTCTTGCCCCCACATCTATTTCCTATCTACTGTCCATGCTATTTATTTTTTGTACCTTCTCCCCCTTCTCCTCCCACTCCCCTGTTGCTAACCCTCCTTGAGATCTTCATTTCTATGTTTCCACTCCTGATCTGGCTGTCCTTTTAGTTTGCTTTTGTTTTAGGTGTGGTTGTTAATAACTGTGAGTTTGTTGTCCTTTCACTGTTCATGTTTCTTTAACTTCTTTTTCTTAGATAAGTCCCTTTAACATTTCATAGAATAAGGGCTTGGTGATGATGAACTTCTTGAATTTGATCATATCTGAGAAGCACTTTATCTGTCCTTCCATTCTAAATGAAGGTTTTGCTGGATAGAGCAATCTTGGTTGTAGGTCTTTGGATTTCATGACTTGGAATACCTCTTTCCAGCCCCTTCTTGCCTATAAGGTCTCTTTTGAGAAATCAGCTGACAGTCTGATGGGGCACTCCTTTGTAGGTGACTGTCCCCTTAGCTCTTGCTGCTTCTAGGATTCTCTCCTTCATTTTAATTTTGGCTAATGTAATGATGATGTGCCTTGGTGTGTTTCTTCTTGGGTCCAACTTCTTTGGGACTCTCTGAGCTTCCTGGATTTCCTGGAAGTCTATTTCCTTTGCCAGATTGGGGAAATTCTCCTTTATTATTTGTTCAAATAAGTTTTCCACTGGTGGCTGTGCCTTTCCCCCTTCTGGTACCCCTATCATTCGGATGTTGGAGCGTTTAAAGATGTCCTGGAGGTTCCTAAGACTCTCCTCATTTCTTTGAATTCTTGCTTCTTGACTCTTTTCTGTTTGGCCATTATTTGCTTTCTTCTGGTCCACTCCATTGATTTGAGTCCCAAATTTCCTTTTCATCGCTATTGGTTTCCTGTGCAATTCCATTCATTTCAATTAGTTTCGGCTTCATGTATTTGTCTAATTTGTGGCTATA